ACGTGGGCGACCTGCGCCTCGCGGACCTGCGCCGCGCGATGCAGGGCGCGGGCCACGCGGCCGAGTTTCGCGGCGAGGGCATGCTCGTCGTTGACGGCGCCGTTGTCGTGCGCAAGACGGCCGAGGGCCAGGTCGAGATTGAGAGCGTGGGCTTGCCCGTCGCGGGGAGACGCAGCGCGTTGCACGAGGTGAAGCGGGCAATTTACGACAACCTGGCCGTGGTGGCGGGGGCATGATGATGTGCAAAGAAGGAGAGAATGAAAGAAGAGAAAAATATATATAGGGAGGTGTATACTTTTTTGATTCTTTGTTGTTCGGTTGTATAATTAGAATGGATGGGCAAAATCTACCAACGGCTGACACATGATGCAACCATGTATGTCTACTCATAGCAAAAGCATGCTGCAATATTAAACAAGGACGTAAAAAACTACAACAACTTTTGAAAGCACACGACTCTTATGAATGAACCAGTGATTTGCCATGTCATAATTGTATTGTAGAATTATGTAAAAGTGTAACACGCATGGTTTCCTCGTCGAGGAAGCCAAAGTAAGAAAAAGCTGCGCTGTTTTTTTTGCCGACAGCTATTACGAACACAGGCCAGATGAAAAGGGAATGTCGACATGGCAATGCCTGATGATGTATAATGGCTAAAGAAAAAGGGGTCTGCGTCGACTCGGACAGCATGGCCAAATGAGCCCACTCTAGCTTGAGCAGTGAAAGATAAAAGAGAAACAAAACGCCGAGCAATGCATCGCTATTCGGTCCCATTGTACAGTAATGCCTCCTCTTATGCATCTCATGACGAGTTCCTCATTTGCACCATCTCGTACTCGCCCTGCCCGTCCCTCCCGCGGCCCTTGCCGCGCCCGCCGCCACCACCACCTCCATGCACAAAGCCCGTCTCGTCATCCCCTGCCGGCCCACGCCCCGTCTCAAGATCTGCCGCGGTACCGCTGGACCCCGGTGGCGGAGAGCTGGCCCGCGCCGCCGAGGCCGCGCCGCCGTCCCCTGCGCCGAGGATACGGCCCCCAAAGAAAACGGGCTGCAGCTCGCGATAGCGGCAGCCCCAGGTAGCGAGCGCCACGGCGGCGGCCGACGACGCGGCCATTGTGAGCCACCACATGGCGTGGCGCGGCAGCGAGCGCGTGTAGAGCGTGACGACGACGAGGTGGAGCGCGTGAATCGTGAGGGCAAAGTCGGGGACGAGCTTGCTGCGGGCGATGAGGATGACAATGGCCACGGCCCTAATGTTATCACGTAAGTACAGTACTGTGAAGAATGGAAGAGGAGTGGGGAGGGACGGGTTATGTATACGCACATGCAAAAAGCACCGTCAAAGAGCCAGATGAAAGCCATCAGCCAGCCCTGCGTGTTGTCGCCCCGGACAGATTCCCACCCTAGCAGCAGGTCCACGCTCATGGGCTGCCCGGCAACAAGCGAGGTGAAGACGATGAGGACCAGCGCAACGGCGTAGAAGAGAAGCTGCAGGACGGCAATCTGCGCGGCGGTGCGCAGGGGCTGCAGTTCGTGGAGGGCGCCCGCCCGGGGCGGTCTACGTCGGCGCGCCATAGGTGTCGAGGTACCGTGGGAATGTGCTTTAATGAAGCGCCGAGAGTCCCGTTATATAGATTGAACGTCAAGGCTCAAGGAGGAAGAAAAGAAAGAAGAAGAAGATTGGGAGCTATGCGCAGTGCATCTTCCGAAAAAGGAGGGGGAAAAATGAAAAAGAGTAAAAGAGTTGTCGAGGTCGCGATGTTTGTACTCGGGGCGAATAGAAATCGGAAGACAAAGATGACACAGAAGATACTGGGTGTTGTAGATCGAATGTCGGTGATGAGAAGCTGAAGCGGAAAGAAGAGAAGCGAAAATTCCACGTTGATGAGATGGGAGAGAAAAGGGAAATAATGGCTGTCTCGTTGCGTGGTCCCCTTGTGATCGATGGAGATGCAGGAGGTCGAGTGCCTGGCGTCTTGGTGTCGTTAATATGGGACGGGACAGCTTGCGTCAAAGGCCAGGCGGATCCCAGCTCGCGGTACGTACCTCTTTTATTTCTTTTTGGCCGGGCTGGTTGGCTGCTGGCTGGCTGGCTGGCTGGCAAAAAGGTTCCATTGGCGCTTGACCGCCCTGCAATTCTGCCGCCACCAGATGGGCTAAAGCTGTCCATGGCTCGGCGACAACTACCTACCGATGCATCATCCCATCAATTCCGCGCCTGCATTACCTCGATTTGGCTGATTGAAAGAACCAACGAGACCAAAACCACAACCATATCCCACCAAACTCACCCACCAATTCTTCCCTCTGGTGGAAATACTCAACGGAGACTACGACGTTGACCTCTCGATCCTCCACCCAAACCAACCACCACATCACACACGTCGCTTTCCCAAAATGGGCTGGCTGCCATTCACCAGCTCGACCCGCGGCGACGAGATACGCAGCGGCGCCGCCATCCCCACGCGCACCGAGCGCGCCGTGTGCTGGGCCGCCCGCGACGCCTACTACCAGTGCCTCGACGCCAACAACATCATCGACGCCGGCTCCCCCGCGGGCGCTGCCGCCGCCGCCCGCGCGTGCCCCGAGGCGTCGGCCGCGTTTGAGCGCGACTGCGCGGCCGCGTGGGTCAAGTACTTTAAGCAGTGGCGCGTGGCCGACATTCAAAAGAGACGACGCATCGAGCAGCTGCAGGCCGAGGGCGCGGTCGAGGCCAACGTGACGAGCAGCTTTGCGGGCGGCGGGAATATCGCAGCGAGTAGTGGTGGTGGTGGTGGCGGGGGTGGTGCTGGTGCCAAGTCGCAGGCGACGAGGGAGGATATTCAAGCTTTGCTGGACAAGAAGCGTGGGTGAGGCCGGAAGCCTGCTGGGTGGGAGGGGAACAGTGGCGTGGTGAGAAGGGGAGTGGAAAGAGGACCGGTCTCGACTCTGTATTACCATGGACGGACATCTTTTGTACATTAGCTGGCGGGAATGAATAGATCAACACCGCGACATCTCACTCTTATTAATTACACTACTTTACAGCCACTTTGCTAAAGACATTACGTCATGGTAGAATCCCGACTCAATCATTGTCTGGATGGCGACACAATTGATGGGAACCAAGTTAAATGCTGACCATTTCTGTTCAATTCTTCTCTTTCCCCAAACGACAAAGAAACTTCTCACAAGGCTAATCCACATCACTACAAGAACAAGACGAAACAAAAAACATAAGATACAGTACAAAAACACAGTAGGCCAATCGCATCGCAAAAACAAATAGTCTTCGTTCGATTAAACCACATAAAAAAAAGGCAATAGTAAGAAATAGGAGTAAGATAAAAAGAACAGACTGTAGAAACTACTCGCAATGCAATGGTGGTATCATCCATGTCTCTTTCGGCGACAGAAGAAAACAAAAAAAAAAAGGAGAGGGCGGCAGGAGAAATGAGCATGACAAAAGAGACGCAGAAAACAAGGTCTATAACCCAGTCAAGTAATCCGTCTCGCTCAACAATAACAGCCGTGACTTCCTGCGAGCGACTGTCGACGGCAAGTCGCTCGCAACGCGCAAAGCCGGCCGGGTAAAGATATCGAAACAGGTTCTATGAAATGCAGCATCGCTCAAATCTCTCATCTCTGTAAGACCCTTCTACATGCAAAAATAAAACACTTGTGCAATGGTGCGCGGTGCAAAAGCAGCTACAGGCTAAAGGTACTGCGCCGGCCGTGGATACAGGGACCGAAACGGGTTGACAATCTATGCCATCCCGCTGCGCTGATCCGCTGCTTCCTTGGGTAGAGGTGGGAGCTTCTTGTCCAAGCTTCCGCGGCTTTTTGTGCGTGGTTGGCCCAGGTCATCGACGGCATCGTCCTTGGCCGGTGGTGGAGGGGCGGCACGCGTTGGAGCCGAAAAGCTGTCGTCACTAAAGTGGCCGTTGGCGCCGTCGCGGCTGCTCTCGCCCAGCTCTTCAACCACGGGTAAAATGGGATCGTGCTGCGCCGAGTTGCGGTTTTCCGAGGGTACCGACATGGTCTTGATGGTCCGCTCTGGCGGGTGTGTGTCGGGGCCCGGGCTCTTTTGCGCCGCTCTGGTCGCCATGTCTATGGTGTCCTTTGGCTCCTGATGTTCGGTGGCGCCGGGCGGTACCGGAGGAAGATGAGTTGGCATTGGCGGAATCGATTGCCGATGTCCCCCGCCCCGCGTCTCGCTCGATTGACGTGCTTCCATGGCTTCTTGCTCGCGTCGAATTTCCTCTCTGTGTGCCTCCTCGCTGGACATTGTGATGCCCTCCACAAAGTTGTAGAAGCGATCGCCGTACTGATCTGGAGGTAGAGCAGAAATCTGCGTCCTGTCGCTGGAGAGGCCCTTCCAAAAGTGCTCAATCTTCTTGATAATACCGTAGTGGGTCAGGCAGTCAATGACACCCAGGTAATAAATCTCGTCGGCGGGATCATTATTCTCGTGAGTGGCTTGGAAGCCGCCATCGTCCTGGTTAAATACAAATCCTGGGCGGCTGTGGCTTACACCAAGCTCGTCGGGCATCTTGTCGATGGCCTGGCCCATCGGGATGGGACGCTCTTGTCGAATCATCTGCCGCAGTTCGCGGGCTTTGCGGGCGGTCTCGAGCTTGGATGGCGTTCGGTGCAGAACCATTGGCGGCTCATCATCCGTCGATTTTTCGCGGCTTGGGTTAAAAACTTGCAGTGTCTTGTCACGTAAATTCTCATCGTTGCCACGAGACACGTCGTGGATGCCAACGAGTAGAGAATAGTCCATTATCTGAAGGCGCTTCAACAGCACCACATCAGCGCGTAGCTGTTCCAGGAACAATCTCTTCTTCTGGATACCTAGCTCCAGGTGTCGCTTCCTGCGCAGCCAATTGAGATCCTTCAATGTGGCCCTTGGATTTTGTTCCAAGTCCTCTTCCCTGTAGTCTCGCCCAACTGTCGAGCCCTTCAAATCGAAAGTGGTGTGAATGTCACGATGCGGTGGAAAGAGGTTGTTCATGACCACAAAATGGATCTTCTTCCCATAGGGCATCTTGACACGGTGTAGTCCGTAAAACTGAGAGAGTAGAGTGTTGGGGTTTTGCTGAACGTGGGTATAGTAATCTTTAAGGATTTTCCTCAAAAATTTATGTTCCGAGTGATGAATCGTTTTAATGATGTACTTGTAGTCTCTAGAAAAGTAAAAGAAACTGCCACTCTTGCCTGGAGAGCCCAGCTCCGACAAAATGTACTTGCCAGTCAGAGACATGAGGTAGTCGGCGGGGTCGAGACGAAAGAATGCGCGCAGGCGCCGGAAGACCCACGGGGCGTAATCCTTGAATTTGAAATCATACTTGGCCGAAGGGACCAGCTCGTTTCCGGTGCTGGCAAAGGTAAGTGTCTGCTTGTCAGTGGTATGTGAGAAGATACGTACATATCGAAAGTCGACTTTTGCTTGGCTTCAAAGTCGGCGTCTGTGAGCTCGCGATCGAGCTTTGCGTTTGTTCTGGAGACGGAGACGCGAATTCCAGTCAACATATTGTAGGCCGTGACCCAATTGGCATGACTCTCGTCGACCTTTGTGCCAACGAGGACGCGATCATCATCTTCCTCCTCCTTGCGCCTGCGCTTGCTAGCTCGCTTCTGGCGAATGGCTTCGGCCCACCTAGTGGCGTCCTCGTCCGGAGCTACCTCATCGCGGGGCATGTCGAATATTCCTGAACGGGTCGCTCTACGGCCCAAATTCATGGAGGCACGTCGTGCACCAGATACAGCAGATGTTGGCGAGAATCTGCCCGTCGCCAGGACCGCGTCCTGCCCATCTTTAGAAGGCCGGCTGGTTTTGGGAACCTCGAGGGTATGTCGTTGCTTCAGGACTGGTGCTGGAGTCGGTGGAAGAAGGTGGCCGGAGGGAGATGCATTCAATGAGGTATTACCAGGTTGATAGGCGGGAGGGGAAGAGAAGCGGTGGGAAGATGGCTTTGAAGAAAATAACTCGGCGCTTTGCTTCCCATCATCGAGACCGGGCGAAGCGACTGGGGTCTGAGCAAAATCCTTTTCGATGGGCATGGGCGGTTGTTCGTCGTGGCTTGGCGTGGCGGCCGAAGCGAGATTTGGCGGATTCGGTGGCTGGCGGAGAGGAGCGGCAGGTATTTGACTTGAATGCTCGGCGGAGCCGTTTTGAGGGGAATGGCCATTCTGCGCGGGCAATTGAGGCAAAGCTCGATCAGGCAGGGTGATTTTTCCATTGGGAAGGCCGTTGGGAGCTGTGGAGTGTGTGTCGCGCGCGTCGTCGTTGGTGTACGAGTTAATGCTCGTAGGTCGAGTGCCGTTGCCATTTTCGTTGGGCATCATTGCATGGGTGCCAGAAGCGTCAGAGTCGTGCGTAGAGACCAGCGAGCTCCCATCGAAGCTCTCAGTCGCGTGGTCGGACCTAGAGCGGTCGATTATATGGGTATGAGGCGCAATCTTATCCGAGGCGAGACCAAACTTGCCCTGATGGCTGAGCTGGAGAATATCGAGATCGGGCGAATCTACCGGCGCGCTGTCATGGGTAAGATACGAGGGCATTTCTGTAGTGGCCAAGAGCCGTTGACTCCGCCTGGTGGTAATTGATGCTGGGGTGACCAGTGTGTAAGAGAGAATGCTTATCGAGGCAGCCGGCGAGGGTCTTTCGGGGAGGACGGGCGTCGAGCTTGGACAGGGCTCAGAGCACGCTCAGGATTCGAGATAGAGTACCAAAGGGAGGCAGTCAAAAAGAAATACGAGAATCGAGAGTCGGTGCCACGAGAGGACGCTCGTCAAGGCAGGCCGCAGCGGCGGCCGAGGCGAAAGGCGGTGATGATGCGTGGCGGTGCGCACAGGTCAGGCATGTACGGTCGGAGCAGACGACGGAGAGGGTGAGCGGGTGAGTGGCACGAAGCTTGGCTTCGTGAGGGAAAGCTTCCTTACCACCGATGTAGCAGCTATGGCGAGAAATTCGATGAGGGTGAATGTGCGGATGACGATGCTGGCGGCCCGAAGGGTGGGTGTTCGATGGGAGAGGAGGAGAAGTGTAGAGACGACAAAGGTTGACGAAGCGTCGACGTTGGGCCAGAACGACGAGTGAGGCGCAGGCGGAGCCACACCCAAGACCACAGTGGACAGCAGTGGACAGCAGTGGCGCCAGTGGACGCCAGTGGACGCCAGGGGGCCAACAGGGTGCAACAGCGCTGTGCTACAGGCCGAATCCAGTGTGCAGGCCGTAAAAAATGGATTTCTTAGCAGTCGCGCTCCACCCGCGACTGAGCCACGGGCCCACGGGACGCTGTTGTTGGCCGCCAGCCCGACGCCGCGGAGTAACGGACCAGCAACCAGAGGCAACCAAATCATGATTTAAAGAAGTGGCTACCTGATATAATAAATGGTGACTTCAACGTCGAGCGGATGACCTTTTCTTTACCTTTCATAAATCATCACAGTCAAGCCGCTGTGCCAATGTAAATGTCACCCACGCATTGTGCCCCCAGCCTCCCAGAAACAAAGTATACGCAGGTATCTACAAGGGTAAACGCTATACAACAGTATTCAAGGTTTTTTCTATGTAGCTGTCTTTCAATAAGGTATGATTAGTCGCGACGAGGAAATTGCAGTCTGAAGTTTTTCCGTCAATTTTGTAAGCGACACTGCGCCTGGAGCTGGATATTTCCACCCTCTTTACAGGGCATACAGCGGCCCTCAGCGTACCATGAATTTTGCTGTTAGGGGCTGCGACACAGGTCCACAGCCAAGGTAATAGGCCATGAATTATTATTCTAGAGTGAAGGACTTGCACCAAGATTCCCAAACCTTGCCAGCCATACTTTAATTTCTTTTATTTGCGCATGTGTTCTGTTTAATCCGATACAGCACGACGCACATAATCCTGCTCCTTTTTCGCATTGCGTCGTCATGGTCATGGCTGTCAGATTGGGCCATGATCTCTACTCCGAGTTCCAACACCTCACAAGCAGCATTAGCAAAGCTCTCGATACGACTCGCCGAGCGCCTCGAATCCCCTAACCCTGACGCCACAGCTCTTCAGCTCTTCAGCTTCGGATGCTGTGCGAGTTAATACCTCCTTAGTATGGGCATAAACAGCAGTGCTCCCCCTAATATCAGACCACGAGCACAACCCTGGTCCAACAGAAGCAAGGGGGGGGCAATCAATAAGGTCGAGTGCGAAGAGGAAAAAAAAAACAAAAAACAAACGTCACCCGTCAATGTGAACAAGCCACAGCCAAGACTCACACTCAGTATCACGAAAACCCAAAGCACAGCTCGCTGCTGCGTTGACGGTCCATCACATGTCTCAGATCCTAATTAGGTGGTATTTTTTCTTGCAGTGTCGTCACTATTTACAGAATGCGACGCTGGCATTCGTTCACCTAATTCCACTCGACAGCACTATGATCATTACTTTTGGCTACTTATGTACCGACAACACATCGCAGCTCATACATTTCTGATGCATTATCCGTGATGATCGCCAGCTTTAACATGAAATATTTTTTTCCGGATTGATCACTTATTCCAGCACACATCTGACACACCGACCTAGCCCGCCCCAAACAATCCGTCGGGTCCCACTGTCTCTGACGTATTAGCGCCCACGGATCATCCCGGGCTACGGTAATAACGCAAAACATTGGCGTTTTGAATCAGACGAGTACACCATATCATCAGGCATTGTGCATCTTGAAATGAAAGCCTTAATTACAACAATACATCACTCTAGTCATCACCCTTATCAACCCTTGTTAGTCTTAATGCAGAAAGAGAATGCGCTGGGGCTGCTCTCATCATCAGAAGGAATAACCATCAATAGAACCATTTTAAACTTGGGACCCCTGTCATTCCAGAGCCGGTGTACTCGTTATATTTGCCTCGCGCCTTGTCGTGGTTGATCTTGGCACACCAGAAAACGTTGGCCAGAACCCTGCAACACATGAGTAAACTGAAGAGAGGCACGGTGGACTTGCTACACGCGCGAACCATGCGTAGCAGAGCAGCCCGAGGATGGCTGTATGCCCATTATGATAGTAGGGCCCTTCCGAATCAGGGTAAATAAAAGCTGCTCAACTGGTCAATCAAGGTGAAAGTCTTCATGTCTCACAAAGAAGACATACTGGCAACGAAGCCTCCAGCATTGGCAACAGCAGCTGCAATCCCGATGTCGTGGCGCGTTTATTATGACCAGCCGAATTATTGGCGTTCCAGGCTAGCACTGGCGGTACCACACAATACATGCCCAGAGCCATCAAGCATGTCATGGCGAAGCGTGTCTCTGGTTGCTTGACGTTGGCAATCACTGCATAGCCCGCAATCGCAATGGGAATGACGCAGAGCATAATGACGCCTCGAATCTTGAGGCGGTCTGATAGAAGCGCGACCAATACTGGTACCTGTTTAATTTGATACCCCAACACGATCGCCATCAGTCCCCATGAGCATAGGAGCCGCTATTGCAAAGGGAATCACCGACCAAAGCTGGACCTGGTTAGCATCGCCTGTGATTCCGATCTCTTTGACAATTGTGGGGAGCTTGGAAATGTAATTCCGTGCCGCAAAGGTAAATGCAGATAAGGTAACATACAAACAGGCCGAGTGAATAGAGCCCGCTAACAATGGCAAAGTAAGAGGTGCTGTTGACCCAGATTTGAACGTTGAAGATGCCACGGAGGACTTCAGACCACTGAAACAGCTCTTCGCGCTCGAGAGCACGACTGCAAAACAATATCAGCATTCATCAGAGCCAATTACGACGGAATTGCCTGAATCGGCCACTTTCATCTTGTTCCAGACGATCTACCGCCCACTGTTGCTCTTGTGTTGACAAAAATGGGGCTTCTTGCAGTGAATTTGGCAGACAAATGTAGGAAGTGACAGCAACAATGGCAGTCTACAAAGAATGTTAAGGAGAAGATGAAGATAAAGTTCTTTTGCAATGGAGAGCCTACTATGATACCCTCCATGATGAATATCAAGCGCCAAACTTCCAATTGGCGCGAGGGCCAATGGCCGACAGCCCACGAGCAAGCAGCCCGCGAAAAGCGCCCGATAATGAGCCTCCCTTGTAGAAGACACCAATTCCGACAGCAAGTTCTCCGCGTGTATACATGCTGGAAAAGTACATGACAATGCCGGGAAAGAGGCCACTTTCGAAGATCCCGAGGACAGCTCCAAAGAATCCTGAAATCATTGTAATCGCGCATGAACCCAATCCCCATAGTGATTATGCCCCAGACAGATGCCAAGAATGGAAGCCAGACCTTATGGGAAACCTTTTCAATAATGAGATTGCTGGGAATTTTGCTACGGAAAAGTGTCAGCGGAATGACAAGCTTGCATGACATGTGTGACCAACGTGGCAATGTAGCAGGCCTAGTAGATGACGAGACCGTTGCGATACTGTGAAGGGCTAATGTGAGTATCATTCTCCAGCCCGATAATCTTAGCGTTGCCAACATTTATCCCGTCAAGAAACGAGCAGAGAAAGAGGAGGGCCACGAGTGGCAAGACATTGAAAAAGGCATCGGCAACAGGGAAGAAGGCGCACCGTGGTGCTGTCAAGGCAGCCAGCCGCATTATCATATTGTATATCCGTTTTCAAGAGAACGCTTTTGGTCAAGTCATGATTAATCAGGCCTATGGACTGGTCGGCAGAGCCAATATCCGAGTTGTGCGCCTGGGGGCAGCAGCTTGACAAGCTATTGTGGTACTGCTGAAGCAAATATAAGGCAGGAATGAGATAAATTCGCATAGCGAATTCAGCCAGATCAAGTTGTGTCTCCGAAGATGTTACTATAGGAATCACGACAGCCGTTTGTACAAGTTGGGACGATAGCTGGGCCGATCGCACTGGGCAAGGCCGATGCGATTGCGGGGAAGGGCTTGACTGTGGCTTGATTGCTTTGCGTGGTGACAAGGTGGTTCGGCAATGAGATTTTTACCTATATTTCAATGAAGAAATGACAAGAGTCTCAGAGACCTCACAGTGCGCAATTGCATCCAAACTTGAACAAGAAATGTGAGGTCACTTTAGGAGGAAGGTGCTGCTGGGCAGGCGCTGCTTGGCTGCTTACCAGGGTAACGTCTGGTTGTCGACGATGCATCGTGCCAACAAATCTAGTGTCGGTGACACACAATGTGATTTACCAGTATCGCCAAAACTCACAATAGCATTATCCGCTTATCAGAGTTTTGTGCTCACCTTTAGCCCACGTGAGAACATCAATATTCACCACAGAGAGAATGCCTCCAACAGACTCGGCACAGTCATCTCTGCCAAAGACTTGCCCTAGCGACCCTTGCGCCGAATCAAACCACCAAGAAACAGCATGCCAAGTCGAAGTGGTCAATGAGTCCGATATCTACCGCTTTGTCGAAATAGAGACATGTCCCGATCACAGTGGCAGCAACGAAGAGAGCCCGCGACCTTCCCTTCAATCCACAGCCGACATGTACAGCTGGTCCCTGAATGACGTATCCAGCACGATGAATGAAAGCAAAGTCAAAGGGAGTGACAGCCAGGTAAGATTAATGCGTGATTTTGGGTGTCATTCTCCAAGATTGTGGACTATGCTAACCACAGGATTCGGCACAGAGCGAGATCCTGCATATGCGCGGGCATCAGCATCCGAAATCCCAGCCATTGACGCCACCAGGTTTGCGACACCGCTTACTGAAGAAATTCCGACCTAAGCGTCCTTGGGAGGCAACGCATGATCATAGGCAAGACTGTGCAGCAAATCTGGCCGCTTCACTAGGCCCAGTAGAGCAATTGCGACGCCGAGATCGAGAATCGACACAAATATACACATCTTCGGATGACGAGGACGCTGATAGCCGCTCTGAAGCTGCCAAAAGAGGAAAGTCTTTGACTCGAGAAGATCCGGCATCTACTGCGAATGCCAGCGAGAAAGCCTCGGGCGCATGACTACCATTGGTGGACTAGTACGGTACTGCTGCATGTCTGCATTTGGCGTGCGACCAAGCCAACGATCTTGTCAAAACTCAACAACCCAAGTCCTTCTGCTCAACTGAATTATCAAATTATTTGGTATCTATGAACATTATTTGCTATTACCAGGGTATCCTCGATGCTAGTATTCGCTTCAACTTGGTGATGCCGGAGTAGTTCGGCGTAGTTGTGCTTGCAAGTCTTAGTCGGCGCCGGCCCCAATACCGCAGGCGGCATCTCGCACTTCTCGCCGAGGGGTCCCGGCGTAGAGTGCCCCAGTGAGCACTGCAATTACCATGCTTTGGTGGGGAGATACAGCGGGTTGCGGCGGATCCATGCCTGGGAAACCCGCCTAGGCTGATGCTAGTGGGGAACATGCCGGGGAAAGACATCGCTGGCATCGCCTGCTCGCCGACGTTGCTAGTTTACAAAACATAGACTTGCCATCTACATCTCTCCTCCTCTCCTCTTCCTTCTTACCATTCTTCTGCCATTGAGTGTTGTCTGGCAGCTTCACACAGTCACAATGTTCCGCCCCGCTATGAGACAAGCCACGAGAAGCGCCTCGGCACTTCGCCCAACCGTGGTCCGCTCCTTCGCCTCGGCACCGGGCCCTACCTTTAACTGGCAAGATCCTCTTTGCTCCAAGAATCTGCTCACAGAGGAGGAGATTGCTATTTCAGATACAGCGGAGAGATACTGCCAAGAGCGCATGTTGCCTCGGGTTCTACGTGAGTCTCAGCCTCCGCTACCGTTCACAGCATACTGACCGGCGCAAACAGAGGCCTACCGCGATGAACACTACGACCCCAAGATTCTCGAAGAAATGGGCGAGCTCGGTCTTCTCGGCGCCACCATTCAGGGCTACGGCTGCGCTGGCGTGTCGAATGTCGCCAGCGGTCTCATCACCCGAGCGGTGGAGCGCGTGGACAGTGGCTACCGCTCCGGCATGTCGGTGCAGTCGTCGCTGGTCATGGGCGGCATCAATGAGTTTGGTACAACGGAGCAAAAGGAGCGTTTTCTCCCCGAAATGGCCAAGGGCAAGCTCCTCGGCGCTTTCGGTCTGACGGAGCCCAACCACGGCAGCGACCCTGGCAGCATGGAGGCGGTGGCACGTCCGCACCCAACCAAGAAGGGCGTCTACCTACTGAGTGGCGCCAAGACGTGGATCACAAACAGTCCGATTGCTGATGTTTTGATGGTCTGGGCCAAGCTCGAAGAAACGGGCAAGATTCGCGGTTTCCTGGTCGAACGCAAGGACTGCCCAGCCGGCACGCTCGCCACACCGTCCATCAAAGATAAGAACGGCCTGCGCGCCTCCATCACGGGCATGATTCAGCTTGATGACTGCCCAGTACCAGTTGAGAACATGTTTCCCGACATTGAGGGTTTGCGCGGACCTTTTTCGTGCCTCAATAATGCCCGCTACGGCATCGCCTTTGGCATCATGGGCGCGCTAGAGGATTGCATCGCGCGCGCGCGCACTTACGCTCTGGAGCGCAAGCAGTTCAAAGGCAACCCATTGGCGCGCTATCAGCTGATTCAGAAGAAGTTGGCGGACGCCACGACCGACGCCGCGTATGGCACCCTGGCGGCGATCCAGGTCGGCCGTCTCAAGGACGAGGGCAAGGCGACTCCTGAGATGATTAGCATGGTCAAGCGAACCAATTGCGATGCTGCACTGCGAAATGCTCGCATCCTGCAGGAAATCTTTGGCGGCAACGCCGTGTCGGACGAGTACGGTATTGGCCGCCACGTTGCGAACCTATTTGTGACGCAAACGTACGAGGGCCAGAGTGATATTCACAGTAAGTTTGTAACCCAAAGATGAACACATCATCACAGCAGAAATTGACATTACATCCACAGGCCTCATTCTCGGAAGAGCCATTACTGGTATCCAGGCCTTTGTCTAAAGCGGTGGCGGGTGTCACGCAACGACGGCAACATGAGGCGGAGGTTGCAGGGATTAGCCGTAGCAAAGCTGTAATTGTAGAAAATATCGGGGAATGCATATGTATATACGGTGCAATTGAAAATGCAAATCGTGAATATCATGCAAATTCACAAATTATGAGTTCAACCAGCAGCCAGCCAGTGGTGGCGGGCAAAGACTCGAGCACCAACTGATGGAAGCGCTGTGGCGTACAGATTATGCGCGCGGCAATAGCGCTACTTTTTTGTTCCGGACAATCATTGGTCAGCTTGTGGCATCATGACAAAGAGTTCGGGGTGCCCGGGTGGCAAATGAGTCGCCTAAAACTACTACGTATTGCCATGCCGGCTCCTAATCAGTGGTGCCTAAAAAGGTTTGTCTTCTCTCGGAAGTGTCAAAGTCGACCGAACCGGCAGCCACAACCAGAGCACGTCTACCATAGTATACCGACAGCACTAACATGATGATGTGTTCTCACACGTAGATTCTGATAGCGAAGATGAACCTGCTCCGGCTAGGTAACTGGTGGATGGAGCATCCCGTCACCGCCACAGGGCGGCAAAAAGACTTTTTTCGGGGAGTACCAGGTGCATCAGCCACCGAGGCTCAACTGGTCTCAGCTTGCCGTGAGCCACCCGCCAGCGCACGTACCGTGACTGGCACTGGCTGAGGCCCGCCCCCACATGGCTGCCCTCGTTTGCCTTCCTTCTCCTTCCAGTGCCGCATTACGGCATTAGTTTAAATACTTCACTCATTTTTGCCAACTCAAGCCTCTTTTCCCCCCTCCAGACATCCATCGACCACAACGACCTCAGCACTCTCCAACGCACCGAAAGATCACCAAGAGCGTCGGCGTTGCCACCCTCATCTCTTTTCGCATTTTTTACTTTTGCCGTCCGGTACGGTACTCTGACTTCGCTGTCCGGGTGCGTCCTCGTTCTTTATTCTCTCGTGCTTTTCCCCTCTTGCCGCTAACCAGCGCAACAAACAGCAACGCCTAGCGAAACCGACAGCCACCTTCGTCGCCTCATCTACACAACAACAACAACACACGCCGACCGCCATGGCTCTCAAGCGCATCAACAAGGAACTCGCTGATCTCGGCCGGTAAATACTTTTTTTCTTTTCTCTTTTGTCGCCGAATTTCCGTTGTCGCTCCCGCTTGCCCGCCGCTTTGCGTAGCGTCATGAGGTCACGTCTTGTTTGCAGCCCAAGGGACGAGCGAGGTGGGGCTCACCGAAGCGGGGTCCTCTTTGGCAACAATGCTGCGCCGTGGCTGCGGCGGCGCGCTTTTCCGCGAGATGTCTGCTTTGGGCGACGAGCCGGACATTCGGCGACTATTCAGTTCTATTATGTATGATGTGCGTTGCTGACATTTGCTGCAGAGACCCACCCTCTTCCTGCTCGGCCGGCCCTGTTGGCGAAGATTTGGTATGTTTGCTCGCGTTTAACGATTCCAGTGGCTCAGTCCATCCGGGTTGCCCAACCGGCCTCTGGTTATCGTTGGCACAGTAGCGGCTGTCACTGCTTGGGAATCACTTTGCTAACTTTGTGTTTAACAGTTCCACTGGCAAGCTACTATTATGGGACCCGTAAGTTACACATAACAGCTCGCATGCCTGCCAAAAGCTCAGGCTTCAAGTCGCGACACCACGGCTCGTACACCTCCAAATACTAACCACTGACGCTAGAGCGACTCTCCTTACTCTGGCGGCGTCTTCTTCCTCGCCATCCACTTTCCCACCGACTACCCTTTCAAGCCTCCTAAGGTTAACTTCACAACTCGCATTTACCACCCGAACATCAACTCGAACGGCAGCATCTGCCTTGACATTCTGCGAGACCAGTGGAGCCCGGCGTTGACGATTTCCAAAGGTTTGTGGATGCACAACTCGACAGGGAGATACGCTGTGGTGTAGTTCAAACGCTAACAATTTTCAGTTCTTCTGTCCATCTGCTCGATGCTGACGGACCCCAACCCGGACGACCCTCTTGTTCCCGAGATTGCGCACGTGTACAAGACGGACCGACCACGATACGAGGCCACGGCCCGCGAGTGGACGCGCAAGTACGCCGTCTAAGTGATTGCCGTCGAGGATGGCGTGGAGATGTGGGTTTGGGAGGAGTGATTGGGCGAGTGGTGGTTTCGTCTTCTGTTAGGAATACCAACATAGGATACCAAGCGAGTGATTGCTCAGCGACACGGCTGAGATATGGTTGGACGGTGGGCTGTGAATCTGATAGCCGCCGGAAGCGCCATTGAAAGCCAGCGCCGTCTGTATGGTCGTGATTGGGCCAAAGCGAGCTTCAAGCTTCTTGGAGTTTTCAATGGCCCGAAGGCGACAGTCAAGCTGTGTGGTGGAAGCAGATATGACAATCACCACGGGGATACAAGGCAACTAGGGATTTGCATTTTCGGGTTGCACTCTTTGTTCTTGGCATGCAGTTCAGGCAGCATATTTCATCATTGACTCGGAAGATTGGATTTTATCGCGCGTGAAAAAGTAGTAATGTGACTGCAATGAGAAATGGGCAGAGAGCAGATGTGAGACTGGCACGGGCCGACGGGCAGTGTGAACGCTCCTCAATGCTGAGCAGAGGCTGTGTAAATCAGGCGTCGCAAACAAGTTGTAGACATACGGAGGCGAGATGATGGGCGAGTAGAAACAACGTTAGTTGGCGCAGGGTAAGAAACAGGCGTGCGGCAATGTGGCACAGTTGGCGAGACTCGGGGAGGGAAGAAGGCGGTTATGACGGCAATAGGATAGATTTACGAAACATTGACAACTTGATAGCACATGCCAAAGATGCGAAGATAAGGAGGGAAGGCTCTTGTTTAGGAGGATGGCGCCAGATGTGCGCGGGATGATTGCAGATTTTGTCAGTACGCTTGCTGATTGTAACCATCGGGGACAAGTATGGGATCTAGCAGTTGATCAAGACAGCAAGCAGAGCATGAGATGCGTCAGAATTTGGGACGAAACAGCAAACGGAAAAGTTTCGAGGACGATACGGCGGTGGGTGGGTAGTGGCGCGACTTTGTGCTCTTGGTTTGAAGCTTTTGCACCAAGATTTTTCCCCCCCTTCTTTTTTCGTTTATTCCTAGGCTGTCAATATCTGTTACCCAAAGAAGGAAAAAGGATTAAAAACAAAGTCCGCGGATAGGGTTAAAGAGGAGGCGTAGAAAAAAACTGCGTTTGACGTGGAGGATGGCGGCGACGATGCATGTCGCAAGTGTTTCAGGATGCAAGGAGGGGGGGGGGGGGCCGAGGGGCCGGACGAGATGACACGCTTGGCAAAAGGAATAGAGAGGAATGACGGACAAGAGGGATGACGAGTCATTGTAGACAAGCTATTGAATGTATATTGTTCATTTGAAGGAAATGGAAAATGGATACAAAAGGTTCGTCGGGAATGGGGTTTTTAATCAAAGATTTATGTTGTAGGTAAAATTCGGGGACAAGGTGCTGGGGTTGAAACAACGTCGTGACATGTTGTCGCAGTGGGCGGCGGAGTGGAAAAAAAAAAAAAAAAAAAAGCTGCGAGCGCCACTTGAGTCTCAATCTGCATGTTCTCCATGTACGGTACGGATTATAATGATAATAATAATAATAACAACAACAGCCCTGTTATTATCGACTACGATTTACAAGCTGTGTCTGTAAACCCTGTTTGCTTGCTTCAAGGGGCGCGCCGCCTTGGCAGATGGTTCGGTTCTTGTTGCAGGGGAAAGACACTCGTGTGCAAAGAAAGGGATGAGAGTGACGATGGAACGGAGAGGGCTTCTGCAAAGATGCCGTCATCTCGGAGGAATGATTAGAAAGGCGCGGTCATTGATCCAAACAAAATTGTCCGTGAGAGAGAGACGGAGAAGGGCTTGGAAACATTTGTTGATGGAAAGGAACTGAAGCACAAACGAAGCAGCAGAAGATGGGATGATGGGGGGACCGAGCGTTGTCCGATGCGACAAGGATTTCCCGAGATGGCCTTTTTTACACGGATACATACATACACACCTAGGTAGTTGACTACCTATTTATATACTTGTTCGTACCGGGCAATATTCTATGATGAACAGGCGTGGTTGCATGGAGCCTCTGGGTAACGTTGCCCATTTCTCAGCATCTGTTGTAGTCAAGACATGCGAGTCACTTTGGAAAGGAGTCATGATTTTGCAATGAATTGAAGAAATGTCAATGAAAGCAGAGCAATGAAAGTAGAGCAATAAAATCAGAGCAATAAAAGAAATAATAGCAATAAAAGCAGAGCAGACGGTTCCCCGACGTTGCTCGTTTCGGACCGAGATGTGCCACATTGGGCCCTCTTGGCCCTGTAACGTCGAACCCCCCAGACCTCAAACAGCACTAGTGACACTTGGTACTGTACAGCCTACCTAGGCACTGGGTAACTACCTAGTAACTACCTTGGTAAAGGCATGTCACTCCCTTCTTGGCGAACTACGACGTCGGTGAATTGTTTTATTCCGATTTATTTTTATTATCGTATTATTAATTGACTAATGTTGTATTATTTTCCTGTCACGCTTGCGGCCACATGCCCTGTTACAGGCATCACCCCCTTGCCCGCTTCGCTTTTCTCCTCTGCCTTGATGCACCCGCCCTAAAGCCAACGCCGCGACTTTGTTCATTCCCTTTTGGTTTCTCTTGTTCCCTTTTATTCCCTCGCTTCCAATTACTCTTTCCCCTAAATCCTCCGTTCTTGATGGTCTTTTTATGTTCTCAGCTTGTGATCTTCGAGGCGGTGCAACAGCTTAATTTTTTCTCTGGCTGTTTATAGATGATAATTGGTAAGTGAACTTTGACCAAGTCTGACTATATACTTGGGAATATACTCTTGGTCAAGTCTTTGTGCTGAGACGACTATTCAGTTTGAAACTATTTCTTGTATAGATTTCGAGATTGACAAGACATTACACGCTGGCGTCTTACCTTTTTTTCTTCTCAACCCTCTAGACGAGGCGACTTTTTCCCTTTGACGACACCAACGACAAGACTCAACACACACACACACACACACACACCACGACAAGATTCTATTCGCTCATAACTCATAAAAGCTCGCGGAGCTTGATCCGCACATCATCAGAAACCGGCTCACGCCGTCATCTTTCTCCCATCTAATCCTTCACGACATCACACACGGCCTTTGCAATGAATGCCAGCTATGACCGTCCTGAGCGGTCCCGGGGCACGCCCCTCACCCGCATGCTCATGAACGGCGAGGTGTCGATGGAAAAGCAGCTCGACCTGACATCACGAGAAAAGTTTGACCGCTGGATGATTAATGAAGGGTATCGAAGATTGTATGTTTTTTTTTTCTGATCTCCCCTTTTCACACGGACAATGATGGTGATGACAGGTGATGATTGGGGGAGGGTGTTAGTGGAACGATGCCCAACCGAATACAATAACTAATACGTCAAAACTCTTCAGCTTCGTCTTCGTATTTGTCCTTGCCCACGGGCTCATCTTTGCCTTTGGCTGCGTGCACTACGGCCTCAAGGACTCTCTCGCGGGCCCGCGCAGCATCTTTGGCTTCACCTTTACCGTGGCGCGCGCGTCGGCGCTTGTCCTGCACGTCGACGTCGGCATCGTGCTCTTCCCCGTGTGCCGCACGCTCATCTCGCTGCTGCGGCAGACGCCCCTCAACGGCGTGGTCCAGTTTGACAAGAACATTACCTTTCACATCACCACGGCCTGGTCCATTGTGTTTTGGTCGTGGGTGCACACCATTGCGCACTGGAACAACTTTGCGCAGGTGGCGGCCAAGAACAACCTCGGCTTCTACGGCTGGCTGCTCGCCAACTTCGCCTCGGGCCCCGGCTGGACCGGCTACGTGATGCTGCTCGCGCTCATGGGCATGGTGGTGACGTCGGTCGAGAAGCCGCGGCGCGCAAACTATGAGCGCTTCTGGTACACGCACCACATGTTCATCGTCTTCTTCTTCTTTTGGTCGCTGCACGGCGCCTTTTGCATGATTCAGCCCGACGTGGCGCCCTTTTGCACCAGCATCGGCGCCTCGGCCATTGGCGTCTTTTGGCAGTTTTGGATGTACAGCGGCTTCTGCTACCTGGCCGAGCGCGTCGCGCGCGAGATTCGCGGCCGCCACAAGACGTACATTTCCAAAGTGATTCAGCACCCGAGCCAGGTGTGCGAGATTCAGATTAAAAAGGAGCACACAAAGACGCGCGCGGGCCAGTATATATTCTTTTGCTGCCCGGCCGTCTCGCTGTGGCAGTACCACCCGTTTACGCTGACGAGCGCGCCCGAGGAGGACTACATCAGCATACACATGCGCTGCCAGGGCGACTTTACCATGGCCGTGTCGGCGGCACTCGGCTGCGAATGGGGTAAAAAGGGCGGCGGCGACGAGGCGAGCAAGGTGGTGGGCGTCGAGGGGGCCGCCGTGGGGGACCCGTCGACCAACAACGGCGTCGATCCGGCCCTGCGCCGCGTGCTGCCGCGCGTCTACATTGACGGGCCCTTTGGCTCGGCGTCTGAAGACGTCTTCAAGTACGAAGTGTCGGTGCTCGTCGGCGCGGGCATCGGCGTCACGCCCTTTGCCTCGATCCTCAAGTCCATCTGGTACCGCATGAACTACCCGCAGCAAAAGACGCGCCTGTCCAAGGTGTACTTTTTCTGGATCTGCCGCGACTTTGGCTCGTTTGAGTGGTTCCGCTCGCTGCTCATGGCCGTCGAGGCCCAAGACGTCGAGCACCGCATCGAGATTCACACCTACCTCACGGCCAAGATTAAGAGCGACGACGCGACCAACATCATGATCAACGACGCCGACGCAGAGGCGGACGCCATTACGGGCCTGCGCAGCCCGACAAACTTTGGCCGCCCCAACTGGGACATGATCTTCAAGGGCATCCGCAAGCTGCACGCGCCGGGCGAGACGGGCGTCTTCTTTTGCGGGCCAAAGGGCCTGGGCAGCTCCTTGCACGTGTACTGCAACAAGTATTCCGAACCTGGGTGAGTTTTTAACAAATCAAAAACAAAAGTATAAACACTGTTGAACAAGAAAGCTAACCCATTTGATTCTAGATTTTCGTTTGTCTGGGGTAAAGAAAACTTTTAAAACGGGTGGTTTTTGGGGCCGTTTAACCTTTTTTTTTAATAAACATGTTGCTTTATTATTTGTCTTTTTTTTTGTTCTGCATATACACTGTAATTTCTTTTTTACAATGCCCCCATTTCGTTATACCCAAGACGAAACAGTTTTTACCGGGTTCTCTTGACAGTTGGGCGCAGGGTTTTTTGTTACAAGTTTGAAAGCAACAGGTTTGCGCAGGACGCAAGTTGAAACCATGCCACATCTTGGTCCGACGGGGGGTTTTAATCGTGTTAGATGCTGAATCCAACACGTCAACATTTTTAGATGAATAAAAAAAAAAAAGGCCCTATCAAGGCAAATTCTACATTTTGAGATTTCTCCTAATCTGATCCATGTTGGTGTGACTAAACTTTTATATAGACGTTGTAGTGAACATGTCAACGCGTCCAGCCTTCGTTTGGGATTACCTACCTTGTTCGCTCCCATTACCGCATTATAGTACGAAGTTGGATGTTTTGTGTATTCGCTGCGAAATCACCCAGTCGTCCAACCAACATTCTACCATGCTAGCAGCGCTACGACATTTGTCAGTCGAATCTGTGCATTGAATTGCATACTTGTGTTTTACCCTTTTTCTCCTTTGCTGTCTGTTTTTTTTTTCTACGCCAGCAACAGTGCAGCGAGAGGAGGGAGGGTTGTAGTCGAGCGATCAAGAGCCGATGCCAAGGGATCGGTCGGGAAGCATCTCCCCGATTTGGCAGATGATTGTTGCAGCCCTTTGGGACAGCTGCCAAGCAGCAAAACGGCTGCAGATGTGACGCTTACGGAAATCAGTTGGTCACGACTGGGAAGCTGCCGCTTTTACTCATCATCTACTATTAGGGAAAAGTTCCCAAAAGGCCCTTCAGTTTGGCACCCACCACCGCCGCGCAGATGCAGTTCCCGTCAACGAAGGAGGGGGGGAAGAGGCCGCCGCTCAGTGTCGTAGATCAGCCGAGGCGCTGACCAATTCTCGTCCAATGCCCCGAGACGAGCCAAGGACCCGAAACGCAACCCCCCTCCCCCCGTGCTAGTTTCGCTACCATGAAAAGCAACGCTATTGGTCGTCAGATGGCTAATCTCAAGGGTGAGCCGACCGACCACTAATACAGCGAGATCAACCTATCAAACTTGTCCGTACTGCAGGAAACATGTGCGTCGCAGGCGATGGGGAGGGACAAAAAAAGAACGACCTGCTTCTTTGGCAAAAGTTTCCGAGCCGACCAAGCATAAGCCGGGCGTCGTCTAGTTACCCCAGCTCGCCTCGCAGCCAACCAGATCAGCCATCCGCTGCACCCCACGGCAATCGGCTCTCCGTGCAGTTTCCAGTTGGATGATGGACAGAGGATAACAACCCGTCATACTTGTTGTGGACTTGGCGGAACACGAGAAGCGCAGTGTCGCTAGTAATAAATGTAATCAATCACCGCCGGGATAATTCCAAAACACTTGCCCATAAACTTTGTGGTCCTGAAGTCCTTGGTTTGTGAGCCCGCCCCCCGGTCCAGTCACGTCGTCGCAAATGGCACCTGCTCGATTCGGTACTGGGCGTTTTACCAAGTACGGCCCAATGGGCGTCGATCCTGTACCACGTTTGACAAGTCGGTATCCTTATCGAAAAAAGGGATTTTCTCAAGTGTGCTGAGCGGCGCTGCTGCTGACGGCCCGTGCCCGCCGAGTCGCCGAAAAGCCTGTCAGCGTGGTATCCATCGGGGGTGTTGGCCCAACCTGGACTAAATCGTCGCCAAACCAGATTCAGCTCGTCTTCTCTTTCTTTTTTGTGCAGATCCGTCATGGACACGGAGAAGCAAGATCTATGTATAAAGGTCCTCTGCCTAGCTCCCGCCGTCGTTGAGAGGCCTTCATCTCAACCATACAGGGCGGTAGCTAATACATCTGCACCACCACCACCACCACCGCCACCATGATGCAAAAGTCAATGTCCGTTTTGGCACTCGCCGCCGGTACTATGGCTGCTGGTTCCTCGTGCCCGAGCAACTCGCCCCTGTCGTGCCACAACACCACCGCCGTCGTGGATACGTGCTGCTTTATTCCCACCGGCCAGCTGCTTCAAACGCAGTTCTGGGACACTAGCCCTCCCACCGGTCCTTCAGGTACGTTCACTTCTTACCTCCCCAAGTTCTATACTCAAGATTGGGGCAACTGACTTTTTGTTTTTCTTTCCGATCTTTTGTTAGACTCGTGGACTATTCACGGTCTCTGGCCCGACAACTGCGACGGCAGCTACCCCGCGCAGTGCGACGCCGACCGCGCCTACACCAACCTGACGGCCATCCTGCAGGCCAACGGCGCCGACGACACGCTCGACTACATGAACCGGTACTGGAAGGACTACAAGGGCGACGACGAGAGCTTTTGGGAGCACGAATGGGGCAAGCACGGCACCTGCATCAGCACGCTCGAGCCGTCGTGCTACGGCAACGCGTACCGCGACGGCGAGGAGGCGGCCGATTTTTTCACGCGCACCGTCGGCCTCTTCAAGACGCTGCCGACGTACCGGTGGCTCGCCGACGCGGGCATCGAGCCCTCGGACAGCAAGACGTACGACGCCGCCCAGATTCAGAGCGTGCTGGCCGGGCAGCACGGCGCCCAGGTGACGCTCGGCTGCAAGAACGGCGTCTTGAACGAGGTCTGGTACCACTTCAACGTCCGCGGCTCGCTCCAGGACGGCGAGTTTGTGGCGGCGGCGCCAGACGGCGCAAAGAGCAAGTGCAAGGGCAAGGTCCGGTACACGCCCAAGTCTGGCGGTGATGACCTTTGAGGTGCTGGCCGCCAAGGTTCGTGTATATGGGAAACGTGACTCGATGCCGTCTTGGGAGTTTGAGAAACGGATACTTGAAAGTATATATGTGTTGTCTGTATATAGGAGTATGAAAAAAGACGAATTGACCAACCTTGGTTGTTTCATCCGTGGATGCGTCATGTGGCCGGTTTTGTGTGATCTCGTCGACTAGGTCTCTGCTGTGGGACCAGAAAAAGGCTGATTCCGAGCCTCTGCCTTTTGAATATGAATCTTGTCAATTTTCCAGGACATCTAGCCATACCGGAAGCTCGAAATGCGGTGCAAAGTAGCCAGCGCATTCCAAAACGACCATGGCCACAACGTTCAACATGGAAAGATGTTTGGCGGGATGGTGATGTTGTCTTGTACAAAGTCGTCGACGACCACCTCATTTGGGTCTAGACGCTCTGCGAATCAGTACGGCGCGATGACTTCTCCGTGCTCACTCACAGCCGCTGAACGTGGTCACAGGAGGGCTGGCATGTCGCGGTTGAGGAGCAAAGCCATGTTGGCGGCGAGCCTGCCTGGCGAAGCGCGCGCGTTTGCAAAGAGTATGTAGGCTGTCAGGCATTGACCAGTTCTAATTATGCAATGTTGCATTCCGGGAGCATGCGTGCTGGGTAGCTTTGGTCATTGCCATGGAAGAAGTAATGAGAGAAACCACAGCTGTGGAGAAGCCACGCATGCACGATGCTCGATAGAGTTATCCGTTGGCACGGCGGATATTTGATATTTATCTACGGATTACGCAACTACGATTCACAAAGTTGCAAAGAGCGGCTACTGACTGGGCTCAGGGGCAAAAGCAAGCCACAGGGCACAAGGCTCTGACGGCGACGTGCCGAGAGGATGCGTTGAAGCGTTGGATGCGTGATGCGCACCAGGGAACGCGCGCGACGCGATGCAATCGGGTTGGCAAGGGCAGGGTACTTGAAGGATCCATCCGAAAATAAAGAAAAAAAGAGGAATCTTGCCCCTGGAATCCACGCAAGTTGAAAGCATTGGCGGCAGAAGTATTGAATGATGCGCGAGATGGGGCCGAAGAAGCCGCAGCAGGATGAGAGGAGGTGGGCATGGTGGCGCAGTCGAGAATACGCAACGAATGGTCTTGCGGGACGGGAGAGGTTTGTAACGTAACTTGTTCAATTTTGGTCGATCCGGCGCCAGGCGTGCAGTAGTCGCGAAAAACACAGAAAAAGCACAAAGCATGTGCGTGTATGATTTGTTGTGGTGTGATGCATGATGAAAGGTGGCGTGGATGGTTCATCGAGCGGCAAAGAAAGCCAAGCAGACTAACTAAGCAGACTAACTAGTTGGGTCGTTGCCACAACAAGACAAAGACCTGACTAGAGATGCTGACTGTACGGAGTAGATGGGATGAGAATGGAAAACTTAGTCCATCAGTTGACAGTCAAGTGGAAAGAGGACGTGTTGTTGGCCTGCCAAATGCCAAAAGGATCATGGTGCGACGAGTCAGGGGGGGCGCCAAGTATATCGGCAGAACTAAAAGCATACGCGTCCTTTTGAGTGTAGTTTGGTGATGGCTTCAAGCGGAGGAGAGAGTCACACAGAAAAGGGTTATATTTAGTGGGCTTGACCAAATAATGTAGAACCTCCTTGGCGGAATTTAACTAGTTGACGACGTGCCCTAATTTTTTTTAAGTAGGCTGCTGTCAGGCACAACTTGATTGCTACCTGAGCAGTGAATAGCGGATCCTGACTCGGCTGCAAACGGACTCTGAATGCAGCTGTATTGAGTAACCTCGACAGTCGAAAGGACAGATGTTTTGCAAGAGATGGAATGGAAAAAGAGCAATTCTCAAATATTTATTTTCATCAGTTGGTGATTTCGCATCAAGCTGGAAAAAATGCCCGATGCCTCTTTATTATTAAGGGTCGTTGTTCGTGTGGGGGCACCACACACGCATGCATTGTACCCGCGAGGATCCAAGCACACAACGTTATACGAGCCAAGCATTATTACCACAAACTGGGGGCGAAAGATGTCAACAATTTAACAACACAACAACACAAGTTCGTGTCTCGCAGCCACCTGCCTCGTCGGGCGGCATTGTGCGTCAACTCGTGGGAGGCTGCGACTCGCCAACTACACAAGCAACCTTGTCGACTTTTTGCACTTTTCACTTCGCCACTTTCGAACCGTTGAAAGAAAATCTCAAACATAAACAGGTCACTGACTAAATTATAAAAAAAAAATAGAATTCCAACGTCTACTCCGTAGCGACGTCACAGGTCGTAACCCTGATCAGCAAACGTCTGTCCCCGTGCCCAGTCATAGACCCGTTCCGCCTCGTATTTAGGAATGTAGGGACCGCTGCCACTGCGACGCCACGACCGGTCTAGGCCGAAACCGGCTTAAGCCCCCTCTCGACCACAACCTCGCTGTCGGTGCCGGCCTACGGGCAACCTATCCAGTTACATCTGCGCGTTCTTTTGCAGCGAGGAACGCAAAAAAAAACAAAAATTGAATAGGCTCGTCAGCCATCCGAGCAGGCTATTTCAATGAACGACTTGGCTAGGGGTCCATGTACCGGTTATGCAGAGTAATCAGTCCAACTCCGACGCGGAACCATGCCTGCTCACGCCCTGCTTCCCGTCGGCGGCGTGTCTTAGCGCCCATTACCTCAGCCTCTGACTTTTCAGCGCCGTTATCCACTGTAGCCTCACTTGTAGCTTGCTGTAGCCTCGCTGAGGCAGCCTACTGTAGCCTCACTATAACCTAATTGGCAAACCCTCTTATAGCGCTGATTCTCTCTATTCGTAGGTGCCTCAGCTGCCAAAGTAGCGCATTTTGGCGCAAAATTCAATTGCGCAAGCTCCATTTTTTTCCCTCTCCCGGCCGTCTGGCATCCAGCGTTTGGCGTCCAGCTCTAGCGTCTTGCCGTCTAGCTCTCCAGCACCTTGCCCCTTCCAGTTCGCTCTCACTCCCACTTCTGCTCGCCTCTCCACAGCCTCTTTTCTTCTTCCATCTTTTCTCTCGCTCGTGACACTATTCCCTGTTTACCCTTCTTTCGCTCTTTCCGACTTCTCCTCTTTTTCCTGTAGTCGCGCCTCGTCGCTTCTACCTTTTCCATTTCATTCGTTTTTCTTTGTGACATTGACCTCGACATTTCCTTGCTCATTTCCCTCCCACACCGTCATCTCATAATCATCCCTTGATCGTCGACGACTGATTCTTGCGCGACTGAATCACCACCCACCACCGAGGCCATTGGTGCCGACCCCCGATCCATCCTCTCGCCCTTGTCAAGATGCGCTTCAACATTGCCCTCGGCCTCGCTGCCCTTGCAGCTACTGCCAACGCCGGCATCACTGCTCGTCAGGCAACCAGCGCTGATTCTGGATCCCAGGCGACACCCCGTACGACTCCCACCGCCTCTACACCCTCCTCGACCTCGGTCCCGACTTCCACCGCCACCGCCACTACCACCTCCGACAGTGGCAGCGGCGGCGACACCACCGTCTACACAACAACGACGGTCACCAGAGGTGCCAAGTCCACCTCCACTACCACCGTCGCCGGCTCTACCAGAGTCAGTACCCTGACCGACACGAGCACCGCCTTCGTCACCGTCACCGTCACTAGCAGCGACAACGACGTCGCCACAAGGACCGTATGGGAAACCACAACAGTCAGAATTGACAGGCGCGGCATCGCTCCCGTGACTCCTACCCCCGCTGCCGCTGCCGCTGCTCACCTGCAAAAGCGTGCCACCATAACGTCCACGGTTACAGTCACTGCCGACTCTTCCCTGGCCGTCGTCACTGTCACCAACGACGTTGTCTCTACCACTGTTATCACCACCACCATCACCAGCACCGACACCGAGGTTGCCCAGGCCAATGCCAGGTCTACCACGACCGTCACAAGCACCAGGACCGTATCTGCTCTCGTCGTCACCCAGACCTGGAGCAGCTCCGAGAGCACACCTACCGGCGATGGTTCCACCGGAGGCGGCGGTGGCGGCGGCGGTGGTGGCAGCAACAGCAATGGCAGTTCCGGCGGTAGCGGTGGACTTTCCACGGGTGCCAAGGCTGGTATCGGCGCCGGTGTAGGTGTGGCCGGCCTCGCTGCCATTGCGGCTGCCCTCTTCTTCTGCTGCAGACGCCGCAATCGTTCTCCCAAGCCCGACACCGATATGATAGCCGGTGCTTCGGAGGTGCCTGTCGGCGGTGCACGCCCCATGTCTCACGACTCCAGCACCGCATTTCGCCAGCCTCCTGTTCGCACCGCTCTTAAGCCCGCCGCCGAGGGCTACCGTGGAACTGCCATGGGCGACGGCAGAGCTGGATATGCCAAACCCGACTATGGCTCCAGCTACGGCCCCAGCCGAAGCACCACCACTACGGTGCCCCCTACCAGAACCAGCGGTGGTGCTGACGCACTCCCCGAGCACCCCTCGCCCGGTTCCGAGCATGTCATGGCTGCTGTCCCTCACATGGGCTCTCCCACCGTTTCCAATGTCTCTCCGCCGCCCTCTAATCAAGCATCGGTCCCTCCACCGCAGTCATATGCTCACGAACTGGGCACAGACAACTCGGTAGCCAACAAATGGCACAATGAATCTGCTGCCGAGATTGACAGCCAGCCCATCATGGGCCATCAGAGCGGGCCGGTTTACGAGATGCCGACAGAAAACTATCGATGATCAGTCTGTGAAACTGGGCGGCGTTGCGATGAATGAGCAGTCCAAGACATTCTAGTTGTTTTTGCCGCGTAGCATATGACATTCCGACGGGCGTGATATTGATGTATTTTTCACCTCTCTACTTGTATATATCACTCTGAGCGTGCCAACGCGACAGACCGCAATCTACATTGTCTGACTTGGTGTATCTTTTTTGAGTTTTCTGAATTTGCATAGCAAAGAACCGTTGAGCCCATGGAAGCTGATGGCTTTTTTTTTCTTTTTTTGAAAAGAGATGGGCTTTTGACGCACGCGTGAGAGGCGGCGCAGTGCTATACAGCGAGCCGCTGGGAAAAAAGGACGGGCTTTTTGAATTCTACTTATAATAGTGCAATCTACTCTTAATGCTGGGATATTGAAAGGATATTGAAAGGGGCCACTTTTCGAATCGTGCATTATAAATCATGTCTTAAGTAACCGTGCGATGACCCGATTTGACATGCAGGTTGCGCTGTTCATGGATGCGAGGACAGTATTTGCTTTGTCCATGTTGTTGTCTTTGTACCATGCATTCTTACTCATTTTTACCAACGAAATCTACGAGACAATTCTTTTTGCATGTATTATTAACGTGCAAATCTGGGGGCCTCTGGAAAAGGCCGCAATCGGACTGTGCCCGAGTCAACGGCTGAATAGGCCGGGTCATTTCATGTATGGGATCCACAATCAAAGTGAGTCGGCAATCACGACAACCCGATAGAAAAGTGAGGGAGATTTTAAAGAAAAAAGAAAAAAGAGAAACATTTCTTCATCAGCAAAGTCCGACTGAAGGAGGATAAAAAGAGGGGGGTCTGAAGCGATTTATCTTTTATTAAGAAAAGGGCTCACCCCACAGTTGGTTAAAAGCTCTCGCCTCAATAAGCGCTTTTCAATACGGGTTTTCTTCTTTTTTGCACTCCCGCTCGCTGTTTAAAGAGCCAAAGGGGCTCCAACATACACACACACACAGAGTCATGACGGACGGGCCGTCGCGGGAGGTTGTCGAGAACGGCAGTGATGGATGGGAGGCGCGGGAGGAGGAGCCGGTGGTGGATGAGAAGAAGCTGGTGCGGAAGCTGGATCTTTACTTGATTCCGCTCATCATGATGCTATACCTGTTTAGCTTTTTGGATCGGTACGTCTCAAAGCCTTTGTATCTGCCTTCGTACTTTTGGGATGCGAAAGCCGCACACAACCCCCTCCCCGGGGACAAAGAACGGGATCCAATACACATTGCAAAATGCTAACCACCTTTTTGCCGCCCCTCCCCCCCAGAGTCAACATTGGAAACGCGCGCCTCTACGGGCTCGAAGAGGACCTGAACCTCTCCTCGTCGCAGTTTCAAGTCGCCGTGTCCATCTTTTTCGTCCCCTATCTGCTCTTTGAAGTCCCCTCCAACCTCGTCCTCAAGCTCTTTACGCCGCGTCGCTGGCTCGCGCTCCTCGCCGTTTCCTGGGGCCTCGTCGCGACGCTCTCGGGCCTCGTCACTTCCTACGCCGGCTTGCTCGCGTGCCGCCTCGTCCTCGGCGTCGTCGAAGCGGGCCTCTTCCCCGGCCTCACCGTCTACCTGACGCTCTTTTACACCAAGCACGAGCTGGCGCGGCGCGTGGGCTACCTGTTTGTCAGCGCGGCCGTGGCCGGGGCCGTGGGCGGGTTGCTGGCGTACGGCGTCGGGCACTTGGACGGCGTCCGGGGCATGAGCGGATGGAGGTGGATCTTGATTATAGAGGGCATGCCGAGCGTGGTGCTGGGCGTGGCGACGTGGGTGTGGCTGCCGAATGAGGCGGCGACGGCGAGATTTTTGAGCGGCGCGGAGAAAGGGATGATGGAGACGAGGCAGGAGAGGGAGTATGGGAATACAAAGTCGGGGAGGGAGTTTGGGTTCAAGGATATGAGGGCGGCGTTTAAGGATTGGAGGGTGTGGGCGTTTTGCGTGGCTCAGTTTGGCGTCGACACGATGCTTTACGGTTACGTTTTTTTTTTTTTTTTTTTTTTTTTTTTGCCACGTTGGGGGGACTCTGAATATAAAGAGAGAAGAGAAGGGGGTTGACTTGAAGATATTTTTGCTGACAATCAATCAACGCTGGCAAATAGGCTACTCGACATTTTTGCCCACCATCATCCGGGGCCTGGGCAGGTGGTCGCCGGCGCAGGTGCAGCTTCTCACGATCCCTTGCTACTTTGTGGGCGCGAGCGCGTACATGGCGGCGGCGACGGTGTCGGACCGCACGCAGAAGCGCGGGCTGTTTTGCGTCGTCTTTGGCGCCGTCAGCGTCGTCGGGTACGCCGTCTTGCTGGGCGACGCGTCGTCGGGCGTGCATTACTTTGCGTGCTTTTTGGTGGCGGCCGGCTTGTACATTGTTGTTGGATTGCCGCTGGCTTGGGTGCGTTTCTTTTTTTGGGGGGGGGGGACTCCCCTTCCTAATTAACTTGAAAAAAATGTACAAGACGTGGACTAACATGGTGAAACAGCTTCCGAATAACTCTCCACGATATGGGAAAAGAACGACAGCGACGGGTATGCAGCTCACGATTGGCAATGCCTCGGGCATCATGTCGTCGTTTATCTAGTATGTTGCCCCTGTTTCTCTTGATCATGCACTCGTCTTTTTTCCTTTGCTTTTATCTTTCTCTTTCTCTCTTTCTCTCTCTTCTCTCCTTTTTTTCTTTTCTTTTTTTTTAGCCTTTTACAGAACACTAAACTATTTCTTTTTGTAGCCCAACGTCCGACGCACCGCGCTTCATCCGTGGACACGCCGTGACGCTCGCCATGGTGGCCACGGGCACCGTCATCTATGGTCTGCTGTGGGCGTGGTACAAGCGCGAGAATGAGAAAAGAGCCGCCGGGGTCGTCAAGGAGGCATATCAGCAAATGTCGGACGATGAGCTGCGGGAGCTGGGTGATGAGAGTCCTCATTACAGATATACGATATAGGCCTTGTACATGACTAGCTGGACTGCGTAGGAGAAGAAGAAGAAGAAGAAGAAGAAGAAGAAGAAGAGTAAAAAGAGAAAGTAGAAGTGGAAGAAAAGGCCACAACAGCATCGGAACTTTTCTACGCAGAGGGTTGCATTGAGCTTGTTGGACGCCACCTGCAAAGATGAATATACCCACAGAACCCTGAGCTAACCCACGAATGATGGAATGATGCTGTTTTGCCTGGATCGCCGTGTTTCCCGGAAACGGCTCCTACCGAAGGGATCTACCGAAGAATCTCTTTCCCAAGGGGATATAAACCCGCGGCTGTGAGCGCGCCCGTGACTGGAATGTTTCTGTAGCAAGATCTGTTGCTCCCTCCCCCCCCGCATACACAACGTGAACAACCTACGCAACGGCATTCATCGCGTCTCACGGAGAAAAAAAAAAGGGAAAAAAAGGGTAAATGAAATGCGTGTGTATGTGAAACAAGAAGGAATTGATCGTCTCAAGTCCAACACCAGGCTCAAAGAAGAAGAAAAAGGGGGCGGGTGCGGCCGTCGTGATCCAAACTACAAGTTGTGAGAGTACACAATCCAATGTCGTTGTTCCTTTCTCGTAGAAATCGAGACCAAGGCGAAAAATCATGTAGTTTATTTATTTGATTTTCTTTTCTTGGCAGAATGCGGCCCCAAGGAACCGGTTCCGGGGCTGGGGGAAAGGGGAAGAGGAAAATGAGAGGGTGCTGTTTTCTGAGACATGGGAGAATTCCAAGACATTTTTTCTCTATGGGATATGCGGTCGCCATTCGTCTCTCCATTCTTGCTCAAGTCGTTGGTTAAAAGCCAAGGACGTTGCACTATAGCCCTATCTTGGACCTTTTTTGCTATTAGTTTCTTGCACTTGTTCTTGGCTTGTCAACACCAAAGCCTTCTAGAAGAAGCATTACAACTACATTCTCATCACCACTACATCTATTCGAATTGTTCCTTTTATATATATATATATATATACTCTTGCTAATCTTTTCCACTTTTCGTTCAACTTTCAGCTTGTTCTTTCGAAAAAAATGTCGACATCTCTACACATCATTCTCATTGTCGCCGCCCTCGGCTTCTGCCTCTCTGCCCAACAACTACAACATGCCAACAACACAGCCGCCGCCTGTCGCAAGCTCGACCCCCCTCCACCACCACAGCATAACACCGCACACAATATCACATACTCTGAGCGTCCGGAGAGTGTGTCGTCAACGGCGACGTCGACAACGACAATGTCGTCGAGAATCAGCAACGACGGCGTCAGCAGCCGCGGCGACAGGCTGACAGACGATAGCCAGGCGCGGCCGACGCGCGTAAAGACACCAGCGGCCGAGACGGTGCTGCCGACCAACACAAAGGTGCCCGTGGCGCTGAGCGCCGCCGCAGCGACCAAATCCTCGGATCCCGGGTTCGTTGCGCTGGTTGCGGCTTTGGGGCTGGTGACGCTCGGCATGGCTCTCGTCTGAGGAGTTTTACGTGTTTGGGGGGGGGGGGACTTGGCGCAGCATGTTTGCTCTCTGACGATTCGGGTGGCTGTAAGTAGAGTGCTTGTTGCTCGGCGGACTAGCAATCCCGAAAAAAGTGAGACATTCTTTAACTAGATGAAAGCTTTCGTGGTGCCCCTTCCAGCCAGCGGCCTCAGCAAGCAGCCGCGAGAAGCTGTCAATGAGAGTGCAAAGCGAGAGAGAGAGAGAAGAAAAAAAGAGACGGATGTTTTGGGCATTGACGAGAGAAGAGAAAATTGTTGCCCATCTCTGTTCCTGCCTGGTCAGCAAGTCGAGGACCAAGAAGCGCAGTTTGGAATGTCTTACTTGAACTTTTGCCATATAAACCCCGAATACTTAGGATACCTATTTCATTTTCAAACTTTACAAACCAGCGAAGCATTTTTTTTTTTTTCGTATAACAATATACGCATAGCAATTGAACCCTTTGGCTGCATTACGAATTACGTGAGTGATGACGGTGTTTGGGCAAGACATTTGGTTTCGAGGTAATATTGCACTGTCTGACTCTGATACGTTGATCGACTGCGATCAGCAACGACACTGGTGCGAACCCCCGGGTAACAACCAGTAACCTCTGACATGTCTTGCCGATTCGGGACGCTGTTTGGCTGCTGAATGAGCACATTTAAGATTTCAAATCGACAGCTCAGCTTTTTTTTTAAAAAGATTGAATCATTTCGAGACGCAGGCATTGGGTCCCACCAACCTTTGGCGCCGCGCATGGACGACGGCTCACCTGCTTATCAAACTGCAGGTGAAACGAGCCGTCTCGTAAACCGACTTCGGGCGGAGATTGGTCTTTGAAACCGTCGCACGCGTCCCAGACCACGTCGGTGAGGACGGCGGCCGAGAGGCGCGGTATAAGGCGGTTGCGGCGGCGGCGGCGGCGGCGGCGAGACTATAAGCCACACGACTTGCAGACGAGCACGAGGCGGTCCCGCGTCGACACCGTCGGCCCTGACGGAGAAGTCGTAGTCGATGACAGGGCCATCATCACTCACTCCCACCCAGGGAGGAACCCGGGCCCCCTTCCCTCCTGTCTGAGCACTGTCCAGAACACTCTTATACATACAAAATCTACCAAGAGATGCGCGTCTTCTTAAGACGTACATCTTGGTTGCCATTGTACACGGCCCGCGTGCCGACAACAATGTCGGCATAGCGAGAGCGAAGGTCAAAGTCGGCCGCCTTGAGCATGATGCGCCGGTCCTCGGGAATGGTGCGCTGCACGACACCCTGGGCATCGGCGTAACCCCCAGCCCCGGGATTGCGCGGGTCAAAGGCGGGCGGCACCGCAGCGCCGCCGCCGCCGGGGACGCCCTGCTCCTCGAGCTGCATGACCCAGGTGGCAATGTTGGAGGTGAGCTCGCTGTCCCACATGCCCTCGCGGCGCGCGCTGCTCTTGAGCAGCTGGATGGCCTGGCGCCGCAGCCAGGGGTCGCGGCACTTGGTCGCCACGACGAACAGCGGCGGGACGATGCCCAGGTCGGCCGAGAAGCTGGGCTTGAGGCGTCGGCCCGCGCCGCCGCCGCCGCCGCCGTACTTGCCCGCCTTGAAGGCGCCTTTGGTGGTGCCGCGGGCGTAGTGCGGCTGGCTGGGTGTTTGTGCGTGGAGCTCGACGAAAGCGAACCGGCTCTCGTCGGCGCTGACGACTTCCCAACCGAGATTGACAATCATTTGGAAATGCGGCATAAAGGCGTCAAATTGTACTTCATTGTCGCAAAAGAGCATTAAAAAGATGACGTTTGCATTGATCTGAAACATTTTGAGCGCAGCAATGCCGGCTCTTTCAATATATGGCATGTTTGGGTGGAAGCGCGAGGCCAGGATGGGCTCGAATGCGTCTGACCACGCTGTCAGACGGTCTTTGAGACCCATGCCGTATTTCTTCCAGGCCGCCGGGAGAACATAGCTCGGATTCGTCTTGGCGGCATGGAGCTGCTCGACAAACATGAGCAGCGCCATGCACAGCTTGTCAGAGGCCAGTCGTGCCTCGGCCAACGTCTCAAAAAAGATGCCCTCTCTGGGCGGACTGTCAGTAATTGACGACGAATTTGTGTCGGATCCCGGGGAGTCGGGATTTTCTGATGTGGAACCCAGCCTGATGATGTATGGCTGAGGAAAATGGAAAGCAAGGTCGTATGACTTTGCCTGGATGGCAAGACGGCCAAACAGGGTGACCAGTTCGTCTGGAGCGGTATCCAGCGCTACTAACAGGCTTGATGAATGGTGTCGTCGCAACTGCCCCAGGATACCAAGGCCAGTTTGAATCTGAATGATTGCTTGCTTGTGATCGCCTATGAAGGAGTCAAAGCAAGCCAGGAGAATGATGGCGATCAAACGCGTATGGTGACTGTGAATGGTGTCGCCTGTGACGGAGACGACGGCGTTGCAGGCATCAGAGTACTGCTTGACGGCGACGTGCCAGTGAGCGACCATGGAATCCGTGTGCCACTGCACATGGACGTCATGGGAAGCCTCGAAAGAGAGCTCTAGAGTCTTGTACAAGGCACCGAGGGCAATGACGGAGTGGCGAACGGCGCTTTCATTGTGACACTCCTGCAGAACCCGCTGGGTCCAAAAGTTGGAATTGAAGTAGCCTGAGAGCTGCGAGGCCGTGTGTAGCCTAAAGAGCTCAAAGTACATGATTTCAGCAGGTTGAAGCGGCAAGGCCATGGACGGCCCGTGCAAGTTTGGTGGATGCGCTGCAGAGGCACAGAGTGATTTGTACTGTTCCATCATCATCATCTTGCGACGGCGCCCAGGACGACGAGGTGGCAAAACTACTTGTTTCTGAAGCATACTGATACCCATGGGCTGAGCCTCGGCGGCGCCTCCTCCTGTGGGAGGAGCAGGAGCCGGAGCAGCGTGCATCATCGCCGCCAGAGGCTTTGGGGCAATGCGAATCTCCATGGATGGCCGCGCGTGGCGGCTGGGGGGCGGGTAGCCTACACATGCCTTGCCGCTTCGAACGCATTGGGTGCACTCGGGGCGTTGTTCATCGCACTTGATCCTCCGTTTTCTAATTGGCGGAGGGATACGATGAGTTTATCGTGGTGGCGTTTATGGGAAAGAGAATTTGGAAATAAGACGGTAATGCCAAGACAAGGGGGGACTTACTTGCAGTTGGTGCAACCGGTTTTGACTTTGGGGTTGCTTCTCCGTCCCCGCTTGACCGGCTGGCCCGAGGAAGTAGACGACGGCTGTGAAGCATTGGACAGTCTTTCGGAGTCATTGAGAGTGGAGGAAGGTTGTCGGTCAGCAGCCTGGGAGCTTGGTGGTGTGACGGACGCTCGCGACATGATGGCCGTCCTTCTGTTTAGAGTGTGACATGAAGGCGTGTGTTTGTGTGGTGTGTGTGTGTGTGTGTGAGGGGAAGGATCGAGCGAGATGGATTTCTGTGGGGTGTATATGTGGAATAAATTATAGATTACGATAATTGAGCTGTAGTGGATTTGATTGAGATGACAAGGCGCGCTAAGACGATAATGAGGAGAAAGGGGAAAAAAGAGCCGATCAGAATTGGAGGAGAGCGGGGAAAAGACCGAGGATGCCGGACGAGACCAGAAGCAAAGCTCTAGATGTAAGCGGTACCAAGCCCTCGATGCTGATTGATGATACAGACAGTGGACAAATCAAGTCATTAATGTTAACTAGGAGGCAATTGCAGCAGGTGAAAGGAAGTCATGGTGTTCCTTTGGCGATGTCAAGTGGAAAGTCGTTGAAAGGGGATCGGCGCAACGGGAGTGGGTGTGGAGGTGAAGAGATGCTTTTCTTTTTCTATTGTCTCCTCTTTTCTCCTTTTTTCCCTTTGATTGGGCGGGAAAAATCAAGTTCATCACTGTTTTAGCTTCGGGTACGTATCCGTACCTTGTACTATCCCATATCCTTACTAGGGTTAGCCTGTGATGCCGATTTGCTATGTCGTGAATACAGGCCTCTGATTGAACCAAAAAAAAGGCAAAATTACCTACCGTTATACAGTACGCATGAGGGGGACAAGGAAGCTGGCCGCTCGCTCATTATCGATGCTGTGTTCATAATCACAGCTACGCACCATCAGAAGCTAATAAATATTGTCAAAAATTTAGAGTAAATATATGAATAATCTAGAATTTAGAGATTTTTTTTTATTCTCAACTTGGGCTGGCTTGACGTGTTGAGAATAGCATTATAGTAGTACGCTGCCTTCTCAAAACCGGCCGCTTTTTGGCCCCCCCCCTCCCTTACGCCAACCCAGCGGGGAAAAATACTCAAGTACCGCTGCCTTGATGTTATCATCTTTTTCTTTGGCAAATTCTAGAAAATACTCATTTCGTCAAAACATCTTTTTCTGACTTCTCTGTATATAATTCTACTAAGCATTGTCTGGGATGGGCGTTCTGTCAATTAGACACTCTGGCTCGATGTCGTCACGAGGCTGCTATGGAAGCGGCTCTCGCATCTCTACCGATGAATCTAAGCGAAACATACGGGCGCATGATCGAGAATATACCACGAGAGCTCGCACGCGACGCTATACGCCTCCTACAATTTCTAGTGCACTCTAAGCAGCCTCTTACGCTGACCGAGGTCAAAGAAATCATAGACACGCAAATCGAAACCGAGTCGCCAGGTTTTGATATCAAGCGTCGATTATTCTACGAGACTGATGTTTTACACTACTGTCCCGGCTTAGTGACAGTCGTTGATGCGGCCGATAAACAGCTACATCTTGCCCACTTTACCGTCAAAGAATACCTTGTCGGAGAGCATCAGTTCAATATTACGGCTGCTAGTATTTCCATCACCAAGACATGCCTAGCTTATCTTACGGGCATTAGTCCCAGTCACAGAGAGATGCATCGAGATTTTCCGATGGTGTATCGTGCGGCGGATTTCTGGGCACGCTATGCTATGTTGGCTCAAGATTCGGAAGCTATAGTTCGAGCGACAATTTGCTTCTTGGAAGAGGAAGCGACGTTCCAACTCTGGACTCGCTTGTATGAGCCTGATTGGCTATTTCAAAATACTCCAGGCTCACCAAGAGGTTCCAGACTCTATTATTCTTGTTTTCTTGGGCTTGTAGCGACAGCACGATATCTCATAGACAAGGGAGCGGGCGTCAACGCGCAAGGTGGCGTTTATGGCAACGCCCTTCAGGCTGCCTCAATTGAAAGCCATCAGGAGATTGTTCAACTACTCCTAGATAAAGGCGCAGATATCAACGCGCAAGGCGGCGAACATGGCAACGCCCTCCAGGCTGCCACATATATCGGCCATCAAGGGATTATTCAACTACTCCTGGATAAGGGGGCAGCCATCAACGCGCAGGGTGGCAAATATACCAACGCCTTCCAGGCTGCCTCACTTCAAGGTAATCAGGCGATTGTTCAACTGCTCCTGGATAATGGAGCAGCCATCAACGCGCAGGGTGGCAAATATAGCAACGCCCTCCAGGCCGCCTCATTTAGAGGCCATCAGGAGGTTGTTCAACTGCTCCTAGATAAGGGGGCAGATGCCAACGCGCAGGGTGGCAAGTTTGGCAAAGCCATCACGGCCGCATCAGATCGAGGCCATCGGGAGATTGTTCAATTGCTATTAGATCATGAAACAAAGGCAATATAGGCACTATTAGCAACAAAAGCAGCGCTAAGTATTTATATTTCTAACTGGTTGCATCTCCAAACCCAGCTTTGCTCCGTGGTAGCCAAACACGGCCAGCTAGCCCGCCTTATTGCCATGTATCACATTTCATGTGCGCATAGTCATTGACATATGTCTCTTCTGCCTTTGCAAGCAAGTCGCAGTCAATTCTGAATTGTTTAATGTTAGAATGACGCCAGCCAGAAATGTACGACTTTGAACACTCGACACTCTATTCGCGCACATAAATTCCATGGCTTGCTCAGACCAATTGTACATCTACCTTTGGTATATGACAATCAATGATAGTTACAACTCCTTGCCCCAAGAAGAATTTAGCACTCGGCACGCTATCCATCGCCCGTGATCCATATGCGTGTTGATGCCGCCGGCGGCCGGACACTCCCCCTCCGCCATTTGTCTGCAGTGATGGCCGCTAGGGCACCAATATCCGGCCCCACAGCTGGAGAGCCGCCGTCACCAAGGCCGACAAAAAAGTGTCGTTCGAAATCTCTGTGTCAACGTCTCCAGCTTCTACCGTCATCAAATCGCAATCTAGGCCAGCATATCACGATACAGTTTTCTTGGACAGAAATCTGAGATCCATCTCGCCCTATCACTCCTCTTCCGCCTTGACCTCGCCCGCCCAAACTGATTGAACCGAAGCGCGAGCCCGACCGGAAAATTCAACACTACGCACGCGCCAAGACTCATTTCCATCTACTGACAGTACGACGCTGCGAATCTTCCATCCTAGACGATTCGAATCGGGCACAGCTCTCGCCCCAACGACCCGACTTCATGGTCACGACGACCGCGCAGGCCGAGACGCCGCAACGGCCGCCTCAGAACCCCCTGATCGACAATGTCGCCCTCGTCTTTGCCGTCGGCACGCCGCTCATCATGCTGATGCCGCCGCGCAAAATGGACTTGCGCTTCTTTGCGCTCGCCGCCACCTTTTCCCTCTCCACCAACCATCTCTGCAAATCCTACACGGGCGTGTCCATCTACGATCGGTTCAACAACCGCGTGTCCTCGGCCTTTGACAGCGGCCTGCCCGAGGGCGCGCAGCGGACGCAGAGGCTGCTCAAGGAGCACAGAGAGCGCGAGGCGGCCGCCAAGGGCCGGTCGCCGCCCGGACAGGACGGGCGCGGCTCCAACGTGCTCAAGGACATTTGGATGGGCGGGGAAAAGGAGGACTGGAAGGAGAGACGCGCAGAGGAGCACCAGAGGAGCTTCGAAGAGGGCAAGGGCATGAGCGACATCATCTTGGAGCAGATTGCCGACGTGTTTAGCGGCAATTGGGGCAGCACGAAAAAAGATCAAGGGACAGAACCGACGAACCAAGACGATCTAGACAAAGGCAAGAAATGAAGCAGCATCGTCTGTGGGAGAACCGCCGATATAATTGCCGCGGACGATTCTGGCGAATTAAGGATGGAGGGGTGGACAATGTAACACCATGTACAACAAACCAGGCGACAGCCCGACAAGGTCAAAAGCTACGGATACCATACGATAACATCACCTATCAATTTAGTGTAGTATATACATCAGACAAACCGATTACATGCGAGAAACATCTATGCAAAACGACGTGTGTTGCAGAGGATTTCAATCAAATAACGTTGAAGAGCCAAGCTGTGAGATTAAAAAAACATGCTCTTTTTCCGTGTACAAGTCGGATGATAAACGTGCTCAGCGATATGACGTGGCAGCTGGCAGGGTATCTGTTACAATTTATGAGCAAGGGCAGTAGCCCCAGCTTAAATGGCCGATCGATACAGTGGTGGTCTGGAGTGGCCGTCGGGAGTGGTCGTCTGGAGTCGAGTGTTTTGGACTGATGGTGGAGGTGAAAGTGGATGATGTGGCTTCGGTGCCAACGGTGCTTCGTATGATTGTGGTCACACGACGAGGCAAGAAGATCACGTCGTGGATATATACAAAGTTGATTATTGCCAAGTTTAGCATTCGGTGGTATTTAAAGTAATTCACTGAGCATGACAAAGACAGTATCTGGTCAACTGGTGTTCCAAAAATAGCCCCAAAGGTGCTGCGCCTTAAAGGAAGCCTGCCCAGCCACTCCAGCCACTTCCGCCAAACACTGCTGGATACACGGGGCAAATGGGCAAGTATTTTCGTGTTGTCACTGTTTGCCAGTTTGACTGCAACATTCGTCGCGACGGTACCTACTTCTCCACCCAAATTGCACTGCCAGCCTTGTACCACCACGACAACGGCCCAACTGTGGCAGTGATCAACCAGTGCACAGCCGCCAGTGGACACTGTTGCGTAATTCAGGCACCTCAAGGCTCTCAGTCCTTGGCCTAGACGGGGGGCACTAAATTCCTGCCGAGATTGACCTGCTTTATTATTTACCTGGCTCCTTCATCATCGCGCTCGTTTGCTCGGTCACATTGAATTCATTTTCATCGTCTGTTGATTGCTTTCTCCCTTTCTCCTTCGTATAACACACAGACTTTGCCGCGCATATTTTGATCTGCAAGCCTACTGCGCTCCTGAAACGAGCCGACACCTGCAATTCTACGCCTGCACGGCCTGGTACGCCGCTCATTCCGCCTTGTTGCCTCTTTAGCGCTGTTGCTCCCGCCCACCCACCATCAGGCACTAAACTCCCCTCTAGGTGATAGCCGTCCGCTCCCGACTGGTCCCTGGGCCACTCTCGAACAAATTCCACGCGTGGCAGAGTTTCTGCATCGCTCATCTCACGTCTTTTTCTCGCGTATCATCTCCCCGCTCATCCGTCATTTCTATACTTCAACACACCACGACGGAACGACGAGTTGTCGATACCATGGCGTCGGGTGCCTATTCTTATTCCGGCGGCGCCGCCAACGCGCAACAGCCATACTACGACCCAGAAGCCCTGCATGTGCATTCGCGGCAAACAACACCAGCGCCGCAATATCAAGCCAACCAACCCGGCTACGACTACAACTACAATGCACAGCACCCTCAAGGCCAGCCCGGCCGACCGTCGCCCTTTGATACCGTCTTCGACGACAACGCTTACCCGTCAAACTCGAGACAGGGCAGCCACCATGGTGGAAATACGCCGCAGCCTGGCCTCTACCAAGATACAGGCTACTATGGCCAGGCAGGAGCCTCGCCCATGTCGTCCCGACCAAATGTCGCAGAGGACATTCCCCTGCAAGACCGCCCGACCAAGGACGGCGAGCCCACTGATCACATCTACGATGCCTCGGCAGCCCCTCGCCAACGCTCGCGCAGGGGCAAGGGCAAAGTCCGTATAGGAGAGCTGGGCATGCTTGGATCCGACAAGAAACGAATTCCTTTTGTCGTGTACTTTTTCAGCCTTATTCAGGTTGCCGTATTCATTGCCGAAATTGCCAAGAATGGTAAGTCGCCCAGATCTGCCATGTTGATGCTGAGCTCGTTTTCGCTGACACCACCTGTTTAGGTATTATGACGGGCTCTCCCATCATGATTAAGCCGCAATTTAATCCCATGATTGGGCCCTCGACCCAAGTACTCATCAACATGGGCGCTCGATACGCGCCCTGTATGCACAACATCAAGGCCATCCAGGGGGCACCGGCCGACCGACCGATTTATTTTCTCTGCCCGAATGCGACGACTAACACCGAAATCTGCCCGCTATCCACGCTCTGTGGCTTTGGTGGCGTGCCCGACCCCATTTTCGACGGAAACGCGGACCAGAATCCGGCGCCCGATCAGTGGTACCGGTTTATTATTCCCATCTTTATGCACGCCGGAATCATTCATATCGGATTTAACTTGCTACTTCAGCTCACAGTGGCCAAGGAAATGGAACAGGCCATTGGTTCGATCCGCTTCTTCCTTGTATACATGAGCGCTGGTATTTTCGGCTTCGTCATGGGTGGTAATTTTGCTGCACCCGGCATTGCATCTACTGGCGCTTCTGGCTCTTTATTTGGCATCATTGCGCTGACGCTTTTGGATTTGCTTTACTCTTGGTCGGAGCGTCGCAGCCCCGTCAAGGATCTCATGTTCATCATTGTGGATATGGTCATTGCCTTTGTTCTCGGTCTGTTGCCTGGCTTGGACAATTTCTCGCACATTGGTGGCTTCCTTATGGGTCTTGCGCTCGGGATCTGCGTTTTGCATTCTCCCAATGCGCTACGAAGACGCCTGGACGAGGGCATGGCTTATTCCGCTGTTCAAGGCGGTCAAGGAGTACATCCGCCCTTCCATAAGAGCCCTGTTGGCTTCTTTAGAGGACGAAAGGCGCTCTGGTGGGCTTGGTGGATTGTCCGAGCTGCCGTTCTCATTACCATCATTGTCGTTTTCATCGTGCTGCTCAACAACTTTTACAAACTGGGCGACCAGTGTGGATGGTGCAAGTATCTGAGTTGCCTGCCCATCAAAGACTGGTGTGAGCTCGGCGCGATCAAGGAGGCAACCTGATTGCCCAAAATGACGTGCTTTACTTGGATACTTTACGTGGACACATTGATTTTGCGCTTTGTTTTACCACTTGCATCGCATGCCAGGGTTGGCATTGCTGCACAGCGTTGGCGTTTGTTTGGGCAATGCTGTTGATGACTTTGGTCATGCATACAAAGAATAGATATGCTGGCCTGATATTGGAACGAAGTTGAAAAAAAAAAAATTCCATTATGCTACCTCGAATCGTTACACTATTTGATCTATCGTGAGGCTCTCAACATGGCGTCTCGGCGCGATGCTTGCTGTATCCAGCGTCAACGCGCACTGTCCCGGTTTGGGTTTGCCACCGCCACAGCAGAAAGACTTGCTCTGGATACTTCCAAAGTAAAAGAATAGGCTCGTAGTTTGATTGAGATTTTATATTAAACAATTTTCTTCAGGTCTCATGCTTTACTCTGATCAAATTTGTCTATTGATGATTTCGCGAAATCACGTGCAGTCCATTAAGTATTTAGTGGATCTGTCACGTCAACGATGCGAAAGGCGCGTCTCTCTAAAGTACGTCCCAAACCGGCGTGTCAGTCCAATTGGCGTATACTTTTTGCCCATCATAGTCCACTGACAAGCAAACTTTATCACAACTCGCTACAATTACAACACTGACATTTTGCTCGTTTTCGTGCTTCTTGCATGATTCAAGGGCTCTGAACCTCCTTCGATTCTAGAAACCGCCGTCGATCCTTTTCACCTGAACGGATACAGAAGAACAGAGCCATGACGACCGCGGTCCTCCCGCAGAAGCGGGTGCTGGGCGAGTCCAAGACTGGGCCCAACCTACCGCCCACGACGCCCTCATCGGCCAAGAAGCGCAAACTGGATGTCTTTTCGTCGTCGCCGGCCGTCTTTTCCGCGTCGCAAAAGGACCGACGCTCCAAGTTTCTCGGCTCCAGCCAACCGAAGAGCGTGTTCGAGTCCGAGGTGCTCGAGAAGCTCAGCCAGGACATTTCCGACCGCAGGCAAAACAATACCGAAAAGGACCAAGCGTGGGAGCGGCCGCCGGTCGAGCGCCTCGACGCCGCCAGGGACAGCATCTGCTTCCAGTCGATCGACGCCGAGGAGGGCACGCTGCACGGCGGTCGCACCACGGTCAAGCTCTTTGGCGTCACGGAGCAGGGCAACTCGGTCATGCTGCACGTCACCGACTTTCGCCACTACCTATATGTCCCCGCGCCGGCGTCGTTTCAGCCCAAGGACTGCAACGGGTACAAGGCGTTCCTCGAGCAGCAGCTCACCCAGCACCAGCCCGCCATCCACTCGGTGGTGCTGCGCCTGCGCGAGGACATGTTTGGCTTCAATGGAAACGTCCAGAGTCCGTTTCTGCAGGTCACCGTCACCGATCCCAAGTTTATCAACAGCGTCCGATCAACAATTGAGGCCGGCAATGCCAACTGGAAAGGCATGTGGGGCAGTACCGACGGCGGCATCATGACCTACGACAATATTCAATACGTCCTTCGCTTCATGGTCGACTGCAAAATTCAGGGCATGGCTTGGGTCGAGGCGCCCGCAAATACATACAAGCTCATCCCCGAGCACGCCAGGCAATCAAACTGCCAGATTGAGGCCGAGATTAACTATCACGATCTCGTCGCGCACAAGCCTGAAGGGGACTGGGCCAAGATGGCGCCGCTCCGCATTCTGTCGTTTGATATTGAGTGCGCTGGTCGCAAGGGCATTTTCCCAGAGCCTGAGCACGATCCTGTTATTCAAATTGCCAACGTCGTCACCCGGTATGGTGAAAAGAAGCCATTCGTCAGAAACGTCTTTTGTCTCGACACGACCAGTTCCATTGTCGCCACTCAGGTTCTCGAATATGAAAAGGAAGCCAAGATGCTGAGTGAGTGGCAACAGTTTCTCATCACAGTCGACCCCGACATCATTATCGGCTACAACATTGCCAATTTCGATTTCCCATATCTCATCAACCGAGCCAAGCACCTCAAGGTCAATGGCTTCGAGTACTGGACCCGACTGCCCAGTATTCCATCCAGGGTCAAGGATACCAGCTTCTCCAGCAAGCAAATCGGTAACCGTGACACCAAGTCAACGAATACAAACGGTCGCTTGCAGCTCGATTTGCTTCAGCTTATTCAACGTGATCACCACCTGCGAAGTTACACGCTTAACTCTGTCTGCGCTCAATTTCTCGGCGAACAAAAGGAAGATGTGCACCACACCATGATTACAGAACTCTTCAACGGTACACCCGAGTCTCGTCGACGTTTGGCCATTTACTGTCTGAAGGATGCCTATCTCCCGCAGAGATTGATGGACAAGCTTTCGTGTTTGGAAAACTACACTGAAATGGCTCGTGTCACAGGTGTTCCGTTCAACTTTTTGCTCTCCCGCGGTCAGCAAATCAAGTTTGTTAGTCAATTGTTCCGTAAAGCTCTGGAGCAGAAGCTGGTCATCCCCAACATGAAGGGCGACCCCTCGGATGACCAGTACGAAGGTGCGACAGTCATTGAACCTACTCGTGGCTACTATGACGTACCAATTGCAACACTCGATTTTGCTTCACTATATCCCAGTATCATGCAGGCACACAACCTCTGCTACACAACGCTCATCACACGAAAAGACAGAATAGCACAATTCAACCTGGTCAAGGATGAAGACTACATTGTCACACCAAACGGTGACATGTTTGTGACTACGAAACAGCGCAAGGGTCTGCTGGCTCAGATTCTGGAAGAACTTCTCAGCGCCAGAAAGCAAGCCAAACGGGAGCTGGCCGTCGAAACAGATCCGTTCAAAAAGGCCGTGTTGAACGGTCGTCAGCTGGCTCTGAAGATTTCCGCCAACTCGGTCTACGGTCTCACCGGTGCTACAACCGGTAAGCTGCCGTGTTTGGCCATTGCCAGTTCTACAACAAGTTTCGGTCGCCAAATGATTGAAAAGACAAAGGATGAGGTGGAGAAGAAATACTGCATTGCTAATGGGTATTCGCACGACGCGCAAGTCATTTACGGTGATACCGATTCCGTCATGGTCAAATTCGGCACCAAGGAGCTGGCCGAGGCGATGAAGCTGGGCGAAGAGGCGGCTGCCTTTGTCTCTTCCAAATTCATCAAGCCGATCAAGTTGGAATTCGAAAAAGTTTACTTTCCATATTTGCTCATCAACAAAAAACGCTATGCCGGTCTGTACTGGACCAAGACGGAAAAGTACGACAAGATGGACACAAAGGGTCTGGAGACGGTACGAAGAGATAACTGCTTGCTGGCACAAACAGTCATCGAAAAGGTGCTGCGGATGATTCTCATCGATCGCGATGTGCAAGGTGCTCAAGACTATGTCAAGGACACGATTGCCGACCTGCTTCAGAACAAGGTCGACATGTCGAAGCTGGTCATTACCAAGGCCCTCACAAAAGAAGACTATTCGGCCAAGCAAGCGCACGTGGAGCTGGCGGCGCGCATGAAGAAGCGTGACGCTGGTTCGGCCCCCGCCCTTGGAGATCGTGTGGCGTATGTCATGATTCGAGGAGCCGCCGGGGCGAAGAACTTTGAGAAATCCGAAGACCCCATCTACGTGCTGGAGAATAATGTGCCCATCGACACCAAGTATTACCTGGACAACCAGCTGGCGAAGCCACTGACGCGCATATTCGAGCCGATCCTGGGCGAGACCAAGGCGAAATCGTTGCTGACGGGCGACCATACGCGGACAATTTCGGTGGCGGCGCCGTCGGTGGGCGGGCTGATGCGGTTCACCAAGAAGACGCAGACGTGCATGGGGTGCAAGAAGCCGTTGAGCGGCAAGACGGAGAGCCAAGGGGCCGTGTGCGCCGACTGCGCGCCGCGGGTGGGCGAGCTGTACAAGCGCACGCTGGACCGCATGTCGGATCTCGAGGTCCGGTTTGGCCGGCTGTGGACGCAGTGCCAGCGCTGCCAGGGCAGTATGCACTGCGAGGTAATTTGCAGCAGCAAGGACTGTCCCATCTTTTACATGCGCATGAAGGCGAAGAAGGATCTGGAGGATGCGGGCAAGGAGCTGTCGAGGTTCGACGCCGACCAGGCCGCCATCTGGTAAAATGACTGCTTCTGATATTTCCTTTACATGTCTTTTTATCTGCATTTCGAGGCGTATACTTTTCACAATTGGTCTGGCTAGGGTTTTGCTTCATGGTGGGTGGGAATTGCTGCGACGTATTGCTGCTTTTTTTTTTGGGAAGGAGGGAGAAACGGTCGAATGGCCATTATTGTGGTTTTGCTGTCGCTTGGTTTTTTTAACTATTCGTTACTATTCGTTACTTGCTCGAGGATTATGTGGGGGGTTCATGTTTGAGGGGTAGATATCATCTATTGTGGCGTTTTCTTTCTTTCTATTACAGGCCAAGACAACGCATTTCAGGGTTTCAATACATGCAATGTTTTTTTGATGGCTACGTTGCAAATTGCTGCTGCAGGATTCGCTAGTGTGGGCTTTAGATTGAACCCTGTAACTAGTAGATGTCAATTGTTTCGGGATTTCTAGGAGGACCCTTGAGAAACGAGTTGGGTGAGAAGCCAGCGCATCAATTGAGCCTTTGTCCCATTGCTTTCTTTGTTTTACTTCTTTGTCAGTGATTCAAGTAATGAGGAAGAGCCTACGGAGAAGAGGAGGTGTGTGTGCCTTGATGACGTAGGATC